AAAAAAAATAGGGAAAAAGAAGAAGGGTGGAGAAGGAGAAGAGAAGATTTTAGAGAGTGAATTTTTTTTAGTTATGTGTATGATTTGGTAAAATTAGTGCAGGATTTAGCATTTCAGATTATCAAAATAGATCGACATTTAAAATAAAAAAGGGTAAATTACAGCCAACCCCCTAAGGTAAGGTTAAATTACGAAAATCCTCTTCATGTTTGGGTAATTACAACCACACCCCTCAACTATGAATCTTCTTACTAAAATTACGAAAATCCCCCCGAGGTAAGGTTAAATTACGAAAATCCCCCTGAGGTAAGGTTAAATTACGAGAATCCCCTCATGTTTGGGTGATTACAGCCACACCCCTCAACTATGAATCTTCTTACATGTTTACCTTTATAGTGTCAAATTCAACAAAATCTTCTAAATTCAATGGAATTTTCTTTAGCTTGTACTCATTTTGTGCAAAAATGCAGTTTCCGATGCACCACAATCTGATATGTACAAGCCAATAGACACATCTTATGATCATCTTAAATCAAAATGTGGAGCTCGAATTAGATAAAATCGATACAAACTGAAGAATATTCCACATAATCTAGAAGATTCCACTAAATTTGACATCACAAGGGTGGACGTAATAAGATTTATAGTTGAGGGGTGGTTGTTAATTATCCAAACATGAGGAGTATTTTCGTAATTTAACCTAACCTCAGGGTCATAACCGTAATTTACCCTAAAAAATAAATAAAAGCAAGCACGTTAATCTTCGGTTAAGAAAAAAATATAACCGAGGAACTGCTATAAAACTGCTTATTCAAACTTTTTCCCGCCATTAAACTTAGTAGAAAGAAAATAAAAATTAAATAAAAACCTTAAAAAAAAAAAAAAAAAACAGAGCATCCCAAAAATGGCGTCGCATATGCAACTACTCTTCATTCTCGTACCATTCCTCGTATCCTCTCTCACTAAACCTACAAAATCAGGTAAATTATTTATTTAATTTCTCAAAAACCAATATGTATATAATAATATATGTATATATTTCTGCAGATAATAATCCAGCAATCCCTGCATTCGCATTCAGTTGGCTGAACGAAAACGAAACTTTCGTAGCGGGCGAAACTGCAATAATCAAAGTGATAGTTCTCGGGAATTACGAGACTGGAAAATACGAGTTCCCATTTAATCCAAATATTACAGTTAATGATAAGATGGGAAACAGCAGTTTTATTACAGGTGTTTCTCTGCATTTTAATGGCGGCACCGATACTTGGAGAATTAGCTTTGTTCCTATTATGGTTGGCTTGTTCAATGTGCTCGTCACCGACGAACATTTTCGTGTATTGGATTCGTCTTTGCACTTCCGAGTTAACTCAGGTGCTCATGAACACACACACACACACACTAAAAGGTGCTAAATCATGTTTTTCTTGCATCTTCTGTTTGAAATTTATATTAGAGGGTTTATTGCATTCAACACCCTTATATTTAGTCTAATTGCTAAGAACTCCCCGTGTTATAAGTAATAGCAAAACCGCCCCCTAAAAATTAGTCATTAATAGTTGCATCATAGGGGTGTTTTTGATAATATTTATTACATGGGGAGTTTTTAGCAATTCGATATAACATGGGTTAAATCATGTTTTTCTTACATCTTGTGTTTGAAATTTATATTAGAGGGTTTATTGCATTCACCACCCTTATATTTAGTCTAATTGTTAAAAACCTCCCCGTGTTATAAATAATAGCAAAACTATCCTCTAAATATCATCATGTAGGGGGTTGTGTGCTAAAAAAAAGTGCATCATGGGGGTGTTTTTGGTAATATTTATTATACGGAGAGTTTTTTAGCAATTCGATATAACATAAGGGTATTGAATGCAATAAACTCTAATCAAAGAAACACAGTAGAAAAAAGACTAACATTAATTGTTGTTTCAAGTAGTTATAGTTTGCAGTGTGTTACAATTTTCTTGATCAAAATTCCCCAATTATTTTTGTTAATATTTAGGTAAAATGTATCCGGCAGCCGGAATATTATCATGGCGTGACGGAATAAACGAGTTTATAGCCGGAACAAAAGCCGAGTTATTAATCCTCCCCAAAGATGCATACGGAAATAATGTCTCTTCCGACACGGAACAATCGCTACTTCATAACTTCACATTGTCCGCCTCGACCTCCAATCGTATTCCGCCAAGTGTCGTCGATATAACCGACAAAAGATGGAATAACCAACAAGGCTATCTCATCATCGAGTTTATTACATCCAAATCCGGAAACCTAGTACTTCACGTACAAGTCGAAAATCAAACGCTCCACGACTCTCCTTTACCCTTCGTAGTGTTTCCCGGTATTTAAAAATTAAATAAAATAAAATAAAATAAAATGCATGATTTTTTTTTTAATGTTTTTTTTTTTTTTAATTTCAGGAGAATTGGATGTGTACAGTTGTGTAGCTGAATTAAACGTAGAAACGAAGTACTTCCAATTATTTTCGACAATGGAAGGTCTAATATATCAGCACGATAAATACGAAAACCTCGTTTCAAGATTATACGCGTTCGATATCGAAGTTATCGAGAAAGGGACAAATTTGTCAATGCCGTTGGCTGATCTAGTGTTCGAAGAAGTGGGGCCCGGTGTACAATCTTTCTCCTTCAGCCTACAAGAATCCGGAAGCTTCATGCTCGTAATATCCGATAAGGAGAAGAGCACTCTCGTCTCGAATACGCCGTACGATTTTACTGTATATATAGGTTAGTTGGTCCATTTATTTTATTTATATATGTTCATTAAATTTATGTATGTGTTATAATACATGGTTAATTATAGTTATTTATTTAATAAACAGGTTACTGTGACGGAGCGAATAGTATAGTGAATGGGTCGGGTCTAAATAATTCGGTCGCCGGTGAAACGGAGCGGTTCTCGGTTTTCTTGAAAGATGCTTATTTATATCCTTCTCCGGTTGAATTGGAAAGCCTTCGAGTTCAAATAATGCATGAATCGGATTTTCAGATTGTACATCCGATTATAAATATAAGAGAAAATAGATTGGATTATCGGGCAATTAATCTTATCGACGTTGCTTCTTCTCCATTCGTTGACCCGAAAAACAATGTAAGTATATATATACACACATATTTTTTATCGATTGTGTGAAATTACGGGCTTGTGAGTTATATATAGCTCTGTTACGCAGGTTAGTGGAAATACGAAGCATAAGGCTAGCGATTTCGATGTTATTTATACACCTGAAAAGAGTGGTTTATACGAGATACGAGTTTTTTGCGGGAATATTCCTTTGAATCGTGGGCGTCCGTTTCGAAAGCAAGTAAGCCCAGGTAACCGTCGATTTTTTTAAATTCACGAAACGAAACATTTGAAAGTTTTAGAAAAGAATATTTTTAATTATGAATTTGCTGCAGGAAGTGTTAACGTGTCACGCTCGGGAGTTATGAATTATGCTCGGAAAGTTCCTAAGATGTCGAAAAATGAAATAATTGTACATCTCGTGGACTCGTATTCGAATCCCGTTCTTCTAGAACAATCCAAGCTGAACTTGGAAATTGCTTCGATAAATAAATCCGATTTTTCGACTTGGATTTTTTCCGATAACAAAGATGGATCATATAGTGGTCCCTACCTGGCAAAAGACGTCGGCACGTACGAAATATGCGCTTCGTATAACGGAGAGCGATTCTTGCCTTGTCCGTTTGGTGTGAATGTGTACAATAGTAAGTCTCAGTTGCATTAAATGTTTTTTTATTTATCAATAATTAATTTTTTAATTTGATTTTTGTGTGTGTTATTATTTTTTCAGACGAATATTTTCCGAAAGTGTATAACGATACAGTTTCGGTATGGGAGGATGAATCGATTGCGTTTAACGTTTTGGATAACGATTATTTCGCCGGTGGAAATGCAAGTATTCTTGAATATACCAAGGTAAGAACATACACATAAAACATTAGAAAAATCGAAATATTTATTTGTATATGAGTTCGAATATATTATTGGCAGCCAAGTCATGGTTCACTCCTACAATACGGGAACGTTTTTCGATACACACCGTACCGAGGGCTTTTTGGGAATGATTCTTTTTCGTACTCGATAATCGACATAAACGGGAATTTTGGTTCTGGTGCTGTGGATTTACTAATCCTCTGTAGACCACCTCAATTCATTTCGATTCCGAGTAATTTGCAAGCTACCGAGGATTTAATTAGTCCCACATTCGGGTACGATTTGCTACTTTCTAATTTACACCAAATACGAAAACGAAAAAAAAAATCATAACGAAATGTTTTATTTTAATTTTTGGCAGTGGTTTCACAGGATTTGAGATTATTTACTCCGATTTCGATGAAATAATAAACGTTACTCTAACTTCAAAATCGGGGAATTTATCGTTATCTCCCATGCAAATGCAATTTTGGCAGCCGAAATGGGATAAACTTTACGTGTATAAAGAGGCTAACGAATTGAAATTAGTAGGCTCTCTTTACGCTATCAACTTTGCTCTTCAATCTATCCAATATTTCGGGTATTTTTTTTATATCGATTAATCATCTCTATCGTATTTGTGTATAGCATTTTTTTACGATTTTCTTTTTTTTTTGTGGTGATAGAAATGAGAATTTTTACGGTGAAGATATTATCCGAGTTTCTACCATAAACAGAAACGGGAAGAACGAAATAGAAATTCCGATTTACGTTCAGCCAATCAACGATCCACCGGTCGTAAACACTCCCTCGTTTGTTATCTTGGATAATATGAATGATGGAATACTCATCTTTGGTCAACTTAGCGACGAGTTTGACTTCATCGAAGATCCGGATCTTCGAAATTTTCCTGGTATAATTTATTATTAGTACATTGAAAAGAAAAATACTATGTTTATTATTTATTTCTTGATTTTTTTAAATTTGTTTTTTAGGAAATAGGTCTCGTTTTTCGATAATGTTTTCAATGGAAGTGAGTGATGGATTATTATCGACAAGTCTTCCTGCGAATCTCGTTAGCTCGACTGAACTGAAAACGAAGAGTAGTTATCAATGGCAGCCTCTTCAAACATTTGTTACGATCTCGAAGCATTTCTTGGTTAAGGCAAAAGGCATCCGATTTAAAGGTACAATCGACGAATGCAATAGTATCATGCAGCAACTATCCTACCACGTGAGTAGCCGATCGAAACCCTTTCTCGTCTTTCGCAATATATAATATCGAGCTATAATTTTTTATTTTTTTATTTATTATTATTTATAGGAAGGCGAACATGGAGACGTGTTGACTTTGACTGTAAACGACCTGGGAAATTACGGGTGCTATCCGAATTGTGACGAGGCAATTTCGATGTCTCTTTTTGCTGAATCGACGGTTAATCTTATAAGACACAGGCCCATGAGTTCATTAGTAGCTCATAGTAAGATTTTATATATATGAATTTAAACTTCATATTTTTAAATAAAGACATGCTTCTTTTTTTTTTTTTTAAAGGTTATTATTATGTACTAATTTTACGGCGTCGGTGCAGCTTTAGGATCAGCAATTGTAATAGAATCAGTGTTCGTATTTTCGCTTGGTTTGCTGCTTCTGTTTTTCGTATGCAAATGCGCTTTCGTGCTCGTTTACGAAAAGAAGAGGAAGAAGGATAAGGAAATTGAGCTGCTCAAAATTGAAGGTTCATCCACACAAACTGTAAGTAGTATTTAGTTTTTTATTTTTTTTATTTTATAACATATATATATATATATATATATATATTGAATATTTTTTGTATATATCTGCAGTTGGCTGAGGGTTCTGCCGGAAAGGAGAAACTATCGACCGGAAACTGCCCATTGCCATTATCGATTCTGGGGCAGCATTCGAACTCCAACAGGTATCGGAAAATAATTTAGATTTTCGAGATTTCTTATTTTTATTTTGAGGGAGCAATTTTAGATTAATTTTTTTTTAATAAAAAATTCCAGATCGTTCGACTCTTGTGGAACTACGGAAGGTGACGATGATCATGAAGACTCTCCGGCATTGAATACCTTGGCATCTGTTTCTTTAGAGGGTTGAATATTTAATCTTTATGTTTTTATATATTGTGCTAATACATATATTGCAAAAAAATAAAAAAATAAAAAAATAAAGGTTCCTACATTTAGTAGAATAACAAGAAAAGCTTCAATATATATTGATTATAATGAGTTATGAACACAAAAGCATGAAGCCTACACATGACCTCTTATTCTCATTTATTCAGACCACACACACACACACACACACACATATATACATATATAGGCAGCCATTTCCTCAGCGAAAGAACTCCGTGTAAATTACGAAGAGAATCATCTTAAAACTGCTGAAGAAAAGCATAGATATGTTCGTTAATCTCATCGGCCCTTTCTTGATTGACGAAATGAGCAGCGCCTTCCAAAACCACGATTTCTTGCAATAAAGGCACAAATTTCTTGAACCCACCTTTGTGTATAAAATCTTTAGTGCCTGGAGTATGATAGACTAGATCCAATTCCCCGACGATAAACTTTGTCGGCACGTTTACTTGAGCTCCAGCCCACGGTGCATTCAGCTCCCAGCTTCTGCGTTTTTGTTTTTTTTTTTTAACAAAGAGTAAAAGAAATTTCAAATACTAGATATCTCAATCAAGAATGTTGAATTTCAAAAATGCGATTTTTGGGAATGCTTACAAGCCAAAGGCGCGGTAATAATTGATTCCTCCGGTGAAACCAGTTTTTTCGAATTTGGTGACGTAATAGTCGAGCTCCTCCTCTGTTAGCCATGGTGCCCTGTCGGCAGAATAGGTAAAGCCTTTACCTTTGGGAAAGTAAAGTGGAGCGGGGTTTCGAAAAGCAAGGATGTTTTTGAGGACTTCTTTAACGCCAATTTTTTCGAACTCCGCTTCTATATCACCAGGCTCCTACAACATTAATAAGGAAAGTGTTCGTTAATTGGTTGTCCGATTTGTTCGATAACATTGTATATAAATAGAAGCAGAGAACTATGAACCGATACTCAGAAGAATTATGGTGTCCTTAAAAAACAATTATTCGAAAAACATCTTATTCTTCATGATTGCGTGAACGGATAAGTCAAAATCATGGATCGAAGCAATAAAATCACAGCCACGCAGAAACCCTCGATCCAAGTACATTACAAACGAGAAAAATTCAAGATTCTTTACGTATGAATTTTGATAAATTTAAATCTTTTCATAAAGAATACTTACCTCATGTTTCGATCTTGCAGGAAAACTTACGTAGACGAAAGCGAATCAAAGGTAATACCAATCAAAAAGTAAGGAAAAATCTTTATATTTTCCTCACTAGAATTCAAGAACCAATCACACCATACAATTGTACCTTGTCAAAAACCAATTTCTAAGGAGCAAACAAATGTCACATCCACAGTTGAAAACTCATCCAATCAAAGCAAATTCCAACAACACAAATCAAGATTCTACACATACCTCGATAAATTAACAACCTTGCTTACATAATAGTTTCTTCCGGTCCCACGACTCAATTAGTAAAAATCTACTAAATTATTAGTTCGATAATTTAATATTTCGCTAAGCAACAAGATGATAATCCAACCTGAAATCTGCAGATATAATGATCTTCACCGTACAAACTCCGCATCTTCTGGACTGGATTCATCTCAGGATCCCTGGGAATAAAAGCAACACTCAGATTCACCAGAGCCTTGACTCTATCAGGCCTGTACATGCACAAGTGCCAAGCAACAAAAGCACCCCAGTCATGCCCAACAACAAACACCTTGTCTGCACCATCCGGCGAGACCGCGTCGAGCAGCGAGATCAGGTCTCCGACCAGGTGGAGCAGGGTGAACTTGGATGGATCGTCGAGGGGGGCGCCGGTGGTGTCGCCGTAGCCCCTCATGTCCGGCGCCACCGCGCGGTAGCCACGCGCCGCCACGAAAACCATCTGGTGGCGCCACGAGTACCAGAGCTCCGGGAAGCCGTGGAGGAAGAGGACCAGTGGGCCCTCGCCGAGCTCGGCCACGTGCATGCTGATGCCGTTGACGGGGATTGTTCGGTGCTGTATTTCCTCCATTGATAGTGCCGCCGTTCTTCTCGATTTTCCGTGTGGGCAACTTTATCAACTTAAATTACTTCATTTTTCGTGCGGCTTACAATAATTTACTTTTTTTTTTTTTTTTTTTTTTTAAGTAAATTCAAGTTAATTAAACGGGGAATTAGGGGAGGGGGAACTCGAACCCTATTATTGATAAAGGCTATGTACCAACTTTCATAACGAGAGTTGGTTAGAATAATTTACTTGAGGGTCGATTTTTTTATATATTTTATTTGTTTATTTAATTTGTTCTTTAAAATCTAATTATGCTTATAGTCCAAATAAGGAGGCATGTTAGGTAAGAATTAAGATATTAGAATGGTCTTTGTCTAAACTTATTGTAAACATCTACATGATTATAAATTATTTTAAAAGTTTTTCAATAGCTTATTTCTTCTTTTAGAGGTTAAATTAGGAAACAAAATATCGTTTTTATTTGGGTAATTGCTATCACCCCTCGACTATGAATCTTTTTACACGTGTCACTCTTATGATGCCAAATTCAACCTAATCTTCTATATTTCATGGAATGTTCTCTAGTTTGTACGCGTTTAGTCGTTTTAATCTTGTTTCGTGGAGCTCGAATGGAATAAAACGGGTACAAACTGGAAAAAATACATCACATAATCTAGAAAATTGTACGAAATTTACTACAAGGGTGTACGTGTACGAAGAAGATTAATAATTGATGGGTAATTCATAATTGTAATTACCCAAACAGAAGAGGTTTTTTTCGTAATTTGATATTACGTCATGGATGTGCCATAATTTACCATAAGTTATTTGACAAGCAACAAACTCCACTCTTAACAAGAAAATGCACACAATAATACAAGCAAACGAGTGACAAAGATCCATAAAAAGACTTCACCTCAAATATACTAGGTTCAAACACATAAAACATCACCTGAAAAATTACCACACTACTAATTATTACATTATATAGTACATATGTATATATAATTATATAAAATCACAATGCTGAACAATAATAGGAAGAAGAATAATTATTGAAGAAGGAAAGAATATTGGCATTAACTTCATCAGGTTTCTCTTGGTGGATAAAATGAGCCACATCTTTCATTACAACTACTTCCTTCAACAAAGGCACATCTTTCTTGAATCCACCATTGTGTATGTATTCTTTTGTACCTGGTGAATTGTATGTTAGGTCTAAATCTCCCACCATGAATTTCACTGCTACTTTTATCTCACCCCTACTCCATGCCCCTGTCAGCTCCCAATTTCTGCATTTTTTCACCAATTTATAAATATAAATATAGAATCTCGAAAAAACGCAAACACGATTTTAAAAAAGAGGATAATTAAGGTAAATTACGGCCACCCCTTCGGTAAAGTCAAGTTACGAAGAAAACCCCTCATGTTTGGATATTTACAATCACCCGCCTCAACTATAAATTTTCTTACACGTCCACCCTTCCGATGTCAAATTTAGTGGAATCTTCTAGATTATGTGGAGTATTCTCGAATTTGTACCTGTTTTACCATTTTCGAGCTCCACATTTTGAAATAAGATGTGTCTCTTGGCTTGTAAATATCAGATTGTAGTGCATTAGAAACTGCATTTTTGGACAAAACGAGTACAAACTCGAGAACATTCAACGTAATTTATGAGTATATTGAATTTGACAATATAAGTGTGAACATGTAAGAGATTGATAATTAAGGGAAATGGTTGTAATTTACCCAAACAAGAGGGAAATTTTCGTAATTTGACATTACTTCAGGGGTGGCCATAATTTACCGAATTATTAACGCGAAACTTACATGTCAAGGGCACGATAGTAATTTAAAGCTCCGGTGAAGCCGGTGGCGTCGTATTTGCTAGCATAGTAATTAACATCTTCGTCGGACAACCACGGCGGTAGAGAAGTTTCGGTGTCGGAAAATGCTTTACTCTTCGGAAGGTGGAGTGGGCCCGGGTTTCGGTACGTTAGGAAATTTTTCAGCACGTTTTTTGTACCTATTTGTGAAAATTCTTGTTCGATTTTTCCTGGTTCCTGTATTTAATTTTGATTTGTTTTATAATTAAAATTAAAATATTAAATATTCGACGATTTAATTTATTAATTAAAAAAATAGAGAAAAAAATGAAATACCTGAAATCTGCATATATAGTACTCATTTCCGTACACGGAACGCAGCGTTTCGATGGGTTTCCGATTAGGGTTTCTGCGGCTGAACGGCACGCTCAAATTCACCAGAGCCTTCACCTTATCGGGCCGGTACAGGCACAACGCCCAGGCCATCACCGCCCCCCAGTCGTGCCCCACCACGAATACCTTCCCGCCGTCGTCCGCCGGCGCCGCCGCCACCGCGTCGATGAGCGCGACCAAATCGCCGGCCACGTGCAGCGTGGTGAATTTCGACGGATCGCTGGCCGGCGCGCCGGTGGTGTCGGCGAATCCGCGGAGATCCGGCGCGACGGCGCGGTAGCCGCGGCTGGCGAAGAAGACCATCTGGTGGCGCCACGTGTACCAGCATTCCGGGAAGCCGTGGAGGAAGAGGATTATCGGGCCGCGGCCCGCTTCCGCCACGTGCATGGTGAGCCCGTTTATGCTCAGTGATCTGTGCTCTATCTCCTCCATTTTGATGTGTGTGAACCGATCTGCGAGAGTGATTGTCTTTATACAGTAAGATTTTTATTTATAGACGGAAAATATAATTAATTACCGGATAAATCTTGGATTAATTTTTGCTAATTGCCGTTAATACAATAACCATTTTTAAGTAATAAATTTTAGGGTAAATAACATTTAACCCCATGTGGGTACAAACTTTTGCAAATGACACATTTATATTCGTAATATCAGCACATAATTTCCATGTAGTTGATACTTGATAGATACGTCCGTTAGTTTTTCGTCAAACTTAACTCTACTTGTCAAAGTTTAAGGGGATTATCTGCAAACATTAAAGAAAAAATGTAAACACTATGGGTACCAGCAAAATATAGTATATTAACATATGATATGCACACACGGTTAATATGACGGAAAGACTAGGGAAAATTACCCGTATCAAATACAAAAGAGTAAATTGAGGTCATCTGCAAAAGATATTAACTCAGGGGGTTCAAATGTTATTTACCCTAAATTTGAAATTGAGGTGTTTCTCGCAAAATGAATTATATTTTTCGATTAATTTTGTTATTTAAATTGTATCAAATGTTAAATGCAACTTAACATGGAAAACACGAGTGACAAAAATGAAAATAATGGACCCATAGTGGAAGAAAAAGAAAAGAAAAGAATCATTATGTTTTATGTGTTCGAGGTTGATGCTTTAACTTTACTCATGTGAATATCTTAACTTTACTCATGAGAATATCAAGAGAATACAAATTAGTATTTTTAAGGAATTTTGGGTATTTAAATTATTTTCCTAAAAATAAAATAAAAATAATAATTGGGTCAAACATAGTAATAATTGGGTCAAACATAGTCATCACAATATGGACTTTGTCTTCGAGCCCATTAAGTTATTGGGCTTAAAAATTACCTGTAAAAACAATATTATTGCTGAATATAGTCCAAAAGTGGTAATTTTGTAATTTGTGGTATGGGGCTTGGGCTTAATTAATTAATTAGTTATGCATATGGCATATGCTGCTTTGGATCATAGTGCTGTATAAACTTGCTGTTGTCCTTTTCTTGTTTAGGACTTGACCTATGGCTTTGTCCCATTTCCAACTCATCAAAAAACAAATAAAATATAATAAATAAAAAATTATATCAGATTTATTTAGTTGCAATCAAGATAATTATTCATAAGTGTTGTGGATTTATGATTCTAATAAACATATATAAGCTCTAGTTCAATGAGCATGTTATTTCAGAGATACAACTCGAGATCGCAACATACATCGTCAAGACATATTTATTGAGTTTTTTAAGATCAGTGCAAAAGTGAAAAAACGACAATCATTTAGAAACATGAGAGTATTAAATTATTAATTACGAGATTTAGATTTAACCTCGTAATAATAACCAAATTGGCATTTAATCCTCTACTATGATCTAACTTGTATATGATGGTCCCTCGCGACCACTACACGAAAATATTAAATATAACATATGCATGTGATTACGTATTTAATAACGCAATTGCATAACAAGTAAGTCTTCTGCCCCCTACCACATTTGCTATGTTATATTAGTATTATTATTTAATTCAAAATGTGGACCCAAATATTGCATATTCATCTAAAAAAAGGTTATAATGAATTAAATTAATTCATATGGGAAAACAAAAATATATTATCCAAATTTAATGTATATAGAGACAAACCCAACGGTTATACTTATAACTTATAAGGACCGTTCACCAATTAAAAAAAAAATTAATTCTAGAATTATTTTGTTTAAAAAAAAAGTTGCAATATATTATACTTAATTTTAATTGGTCATTTTATTATATTAATTTCACTATTATATAAAATAACAATAAAAAAACAACCAATTAAAAATAAACACGTAATTAATAATCAAATGTTTCACAGAAAAAGGTAAAACAAATGGTCAGAGCAATCACGTGACCAAATATATGGGCGTAGCAGTGGTGGAGATCCTGTGGTTGTCGTCCATATTAAGCTCCCTGAGGCTCATGTACGGGATCTCCGCCGCCGCACCACCGCCCGGTACTCTGCCGGCGTTTCTGTACGGGGAAGACGAACCGCTCCTGCTCTCGGTGATGTAAACCGGGCTGGATATCGATCCAATGCGGTGGTGGTGGTGGTGGCGGCGAGCGGCGCCAGTAGCGGCGGCGGAGGACGGCGGCTCAGCCCACTTGGGGAGCTTGAAGAAGTCGAGGAGGGAGTTCCGCCACCAGCGTTTCTTGGTGTTCTTCTTGTCTTTGGAGATGGGTTTCTGGAGCTTGAAATGCAGGTCTATGGATCTTGATTCTCTCTTGTGCTTTCTTGCTTCTTCCATTACCTTAAACAGAAAAAACACAATGTAAGAAAAACACACACACACACACAGAGAAAATGGGGAGAGAGAAGAAGGGTAAAATGGACAATTGGTACCTGAAAGTAGTCGATTTGGGGTTCAAATCCATAGTCGGTAAAATGCTGTGGAGGTAGTATAGGGAAAATGGGGGGTTTATTTGACATTTTTCTTCTCTCTTGTTTTTCCTTGTTCTTCAGTTTTGAGCTGAGAGAGAGTAGAGACTAGAGAGAGAAAGTAGAGTGAGAGAAGTATGTGTGTGAATGAAAGTGGGGGGAAAAATAGGCATGGGGGGAAACCCTAGTAAATGCAGTCACATCTTTTTATTGGACTCACAATTTTTACATTATTTCATTAATTAATTAATATATATTTCACGCATGAAATTAAAGTAAGTATATAGGTTCACACCTCAAAATTTAGTCAGTCCATTTGGTCGGATCTATTATTATTATTATTTTTTTTTTTTTCATTTTCCTTTTATGGAAAGGAGTGTCGACTCTAATCGAGTAAACTCGAACACGTAATTGTTTAAATTCGATTCAATTTTTATCTACGTTCTGAGTTTGCATTTGAGTTTGGTTTGATCAGCAATCGAACTTCACTTCTTATCGAGTACAAACATGCGTTCGAGTTTTGGTTCACTGTGCTAACAAAGCGAGCTCAACCGAGTTTTTAACGAACAATTTGTAATCGAGTATGCCCTAAATGGAAGTTTGGTTACTAGTGATTACAATGTGTTTTTAATGGGCCTCGTGTGATTTTGTGATGCATGCACAATTTTCCAATTGGGAAATGATCTACCAATAATGGAAATAAGCCCAATATATAAAAAAGGTCCAAGCCCATATTTAAATTAATTATTTATAGTAAATTTGGTTTACAAGATAGTAATTTAATCCAGCCCATACCATTCGGCCTTGTACCAAACAATCCATACAAAATGAAATTTAATAATATCCTGATAATCAATTTCGTAAAAATAGGGGTGTAAATGAGCCCAGCTCGAGCCCAACTTATCTGTTTTGGCGAGCTCGAATCCATTTTGACAAGCTTGAGATCTTCGATTATTTCTTTTTTGGGCTCGAGTCGGCTCACCGAGTTTACGAGTCGTACCAAAAAAGCAAGAACAATAATTGAGTGTAATTCAACGGTAGATTTCAAGAGTCAACAAAAGATCTTGACCATTCACATATATACTCACTCCATACACTCTTATGACATGCAATTTTTTCCAATGATAAAATAGAATTTGAATAAAATAATAGTAAAGATTGATCAATCAATTTCACATACTAATGTAAGTACTCAATCTATATTATTTTTCACAATCCATTAACTACTATTTTTGCTTTATTATTTTTAATTAAATGTAATGAAAAAATAAAATAAATAGGGTTTGTATATTTATTAGTTTTTAATAAAATGCAACCTAAAACCAGAGCTATTACAAAAGAGAGGAATAAATGATGGGATAAGTCATAAGAACTTTAGACCAAAACTAATAAATTCATAATAAATAAAAAAGAAAGTTGAAATAATAACTGTAATAGTTTGACCTTTTTGTTCCCCACGCAATTGACCTTTTTTTATTTTAACCTCCCAAATTTGACCCTCAATTAATCCACAAACTCCACCAAACCCCACCGATTCCACTTCAACAACCCACCTTTCACTCATGTCCTTTTCCGTCATTTCGCATAATTCCACGTCAACAATGGCGTGTTTTATCAGTTTAAAGATGGACCAAAATCTTGACTTTAATTAATGAAATTAAAAAAATAAATAAAAACATTTCACTGAAACCAACAAGAAACTTCCTACTTACTTTATATTCCCAACCTATTTTTCTTCTCATATATAATTCCACCACCCTCTTTCTTCTTCTTCTTCTTCTTCAAGAATTAATTATTATTATTTTTTTTAATTTGTCTGAATTTTCTTTCTTTCTTCATCGAAGTTTTTTTTTTTTTGGTTTGGTTTGCATGGGAGATATGGATCAACAGATTGAAAATGAGGCGGGAAAAGGGTACGCTTTGAGCGGGAAAATAATGCTGAGCGCCATTGTTATACTCTTCGCCGTCGTCGTTTTCATGGTGGGCCTCCATCTCTACGCAAGATGGTACCTCGTGCGGCTGCGCCGCCGTCAGCTCGAGCGGCGCCGCGGCCGACACCATGTCGGCCGGGGGGCGCAGATCCTGATGTACGTCGACACACGCAACACTACTCCGGCGGACAGGGGACTCGAGCTGCCGGTTCTGAATTCGTTGCCGGTTTTTATGTTCTCCGGCGGCCGGAAGGCGGAGGAGCAGCCGCAGGAGTGCGCCGTGTGCATATCGGAGTACGAAGGGCATGAAGTGGTGCGCCTCCTTCCAAAGTGCAACCACATATTTCACATCGACTGTATTGACATGTGGTTCCGGTCCCACTCCACCTGCCCGATTTGCCGGTCGCCGGTCGAATTTGAGCCGGAGCGGATTTATCAGGTGGGGAGGCCGATGACCGAACCGGTCGGTTTCGTAAACGGGCCGCCGGCGGTGGGATCGAGTTCCGGTTCTGGAGTCTCCAACACTTGCCGGCACGACGAGGTAGGTGGTGGGGACGCAGGCACGGCGTTGTCGGGTAGCCGGAGGAAGGGGCTGGATTTGCCGGCGGTGACAATTGAGGTGCCGCCGAGGCGGAACGAGTCGGATAGCGAGTTGACTCAGAACTCGCCGGCGAGTCGGTTCTTGTCGTTGAAGAGAATACTCAGTATGGGGAGAAAGTCGCCGTCTGGGGTGGGAACCAGCGGTGGGGCCACCGAGTTGGACTTGGAGGGTGGGCTCAGTGAGTCAAATATTGGAGGAAGCAACGGCGTACTTTCGAGGTAAACGACACCGGATCGAGTGTGCGAAATTTCGTGCAGCGTTTTGGACACGTGGCGTAAGGAGAGATGGGATAAGATTAACCCCCAAAAGAGGGGCAGCTGCTTTGACTAATGAATTTCCGTGTACATAGATAGGCAAATAGGGATGGAATTTATCCCGTTTTATTATTATATTTTGTTTTAAAATTCTTGATTTAGATTTTCCTTTTCTTTTCTTTTCTTTTTCTGATATTATATTTGGGATTGTGTAATTTGCACGCCGAAATTTGATTACAATATTGGCAAAAGCCAAAAAAATTACCGGAAAATGTCTATAAAAAGATCGTCAATTAATGCATGAAAGCAATTGAAAATAGGTCCATTTTTTTTTTCCCTCTCTATGGTCAATTTGGTAAGATTGGGCCAAATTCTCTATATCGGACTAATTAAATAATATATGAACAAAATATATGGTCCGAAATAGATTAATTGGGTCCACCAGCTCAATGCGCGTCAAAGACAAACTCACTTAAGAAGCTCGTCCGACGAAAGCTTGTTAGTACCAAACTCGGTAAACGATGACTTGGTATATGATGGTGGCGAGCTCGCCAACTCATCTGAATTTGCAACAAGAGTCGTTGGAAGAAGAGGATTTATTGACATTATCCCTAAAAAAATAAGAAAAATATGTAAATTCGAAATAGTGATTAAACAATCAATATAAATCTCGATGAATTTTGAAATTCTAAAATAGGCCGCAATCACACACAATTCTCACTTTCTCTCTTATCTTTATAATTTTCCAATCAATTAGTTCGTCTTCGCCAGCTAAATACCGGCGCCGAATGTACCTTTCGCCAAACGAAAGAGTTTGATTTTAAAGAAGCTCTTGAAGGTGCAAATATTGCATAGTCACTCTCTTTAGCACTTCCATTTTTTTTAAAGACAACACCATGTGGAAATTATAATTAATTATAATTAATTATAATTATAATTAATTAAAACTCCAATATGGGCAATAGAAAGACAAAACGGTGGTCAATGTATACAATTGCAGCCCACCATTGCCACTACTTCAATTTTGCAAATGCAATGTACCATTCACATTTAATAAACATTTAATCTATATAAATAACTTTTCCTAACATAATTAATTAGTCCCACCTAATAAAATAATCATATTGATAGTGCAATATACTTTTTATTTTTACACCACTAACCTTAAATTAACCCTTCCTTTTCCCCTAAATCTAAACATGCCAAACACATTTCCATGTGACATAAATTGTATTCAATTCTAAAACGCAATATTTAATACGCGTAGCTTTATAAGCTTATTGGACTCAAGACCCGGCCCGGCCCAAATTCGAAATATTTATTAGTTATCTTTGGTTTAATTCCACTTTGTACCCTCAAAATATACCATTTTAGCACTTTATACCCTCAAAAATAATCTATAACACTTTGCACCCTCTAAACATGTTTACTTATTTAAAGTGAACCCTAGTTAATTTTCTGGACATAATTTGATGTCGTTTACTTATTTTCTGATCGTCAACATGGTCATTTTTGTCTATTCAATTGATTTTTTTTTCAGGGTGCAAATTGCTAATGTATTTTCGAGTAAACATAACTCTGTTGACTATCAGAAATTAGATCAACCGCGGAAATACTAGCCGAAAAATAAACTAGAGTACAATTGGAACGATTAAACATGTTTCAAGAGTGCAAAGTGCCATAAATTATTTTCGGGGGTGCAACGTTACAAATTGGTACATTTAGAGGGTGCAGTTTGAACAATTAACTAAAATTCAATTTCCTATATATATATATATATATATATATATATATATATATATATATATATATATAACTATGAAGACAAGATAAATTTATTGAATTCACATGTCCATTATATTAAACAAACCACACGGAATCCTTACAAATTCAACAAACAATAGTACCACAAATGCAATATTTTCTTGACAATTAAATTAAGCCGTTATCTTTTACTAAAATTCAATTTCCTATATATATATATATATATATATATATATATAACTATGAAGACAAGATAAATTTATTGAATTCACATGTCCATTATATTAAACAAACCACACGGAATCCTTACAAATTCAACAAACAATAGTACCACAAATGCAATATTTTCTTGACAATTAATTAATTAATTAATTAAATTAATTAACTAATATTTTTAGAGCTGCAACATGCCACTAACATAAGGAATACCAGAGGTGGAAACCCACGTGTCATTCTTATAAACAACCCCCGGAGTAAAGCTCTGAGCAATCGCCGGAGTAATCTTCTTGATACCCTTCCACGTGACCCGCCCCGAAAGACCCGACCCGGCTCCACGGTTCTGGTACTCCCCATAGTACAGCGTGCTGAGCGCGTAGTTCCCCATCCACGGCGACCACCCCTCCGGCGCAATGAACCCGTCGATGTTCGACTGCATCACGATCGTCCTGGAATATTCCTTCCACGGCCGGCCGAGGTAGGCGTCCAGCGGCGGCTTCACGGCGAGGAACGCCGGGTCGGCCACTATGTCGCAGCCCTGGAGCACGGTCACCCCGACGCTGCGCTGGTCCTTCCTTCCCTGCGCGGTCACCATGCACGCCTGGTCGTCCATCGGCTGCCGCACCACCAGGCGGCACTTCTGGAAGATGGCGACGGCGTCGCCGAAGATGAAGTCGATGGTGCCGGTGATCTGGCAGTCCCGGTAGAACTGCCGGTACGCGTGCGCGTACAGCGTGTCCTGGTACCCGTCCATGTGGACGTTGTAGAAGATCGCGTTGTCGCCGGAGACCCGCACCGCCACCGCCTGGTGCTTCGCCGCTCCGGCGGTGTTCTCGATTCCGATGTCCTTCGCCAGGAACCCATCTCCGTTCACGGCGAGAACGGCGGTGTGGAACGTCTGAACCCCGTCGGCGTAGTTCTTGTTTCCGATGATTCTCGTCTTCTCCGGCCCATCTCCGATCAAAACAATATTATTCACGTGCCTCGGAATAATCACGGTCTCCTTGTAAACACCGGCCTTCACGTAGATAACAAAGGTCTGATTCGTCTTCTTGGGGAGGGTTTTGAGTGCGGCGGCGATGGTGCCGTACTGGCCGCTGCCGTCCTTAGCCACGACGGCGTTGGGCTTCAGAGTCGCCGGAGTTGCGGCCAAGAGCTTTCTTGCCTTGGAATCGACGAAAGATGGGGTGCCCTCGAAACCCATTTTAGGGTCTTCTCCCGGCGCGTAGTCGGTGGGGTCCAGGTGGTACAAAGACCTACCTTCGTCGGAAAGTAATCGCCGGCTGCTGAAACCGCCCAATGATGAAAGAATTGAGGAGAAATCTGTCACCATTGCTAGACCGTTGCTTAATAACTCGCCGGAAGTTTGCAGAAGATTCTTCATCTTCTCCCCAGTGTCACCTGTCAGTCATACATAATCAAACGTTAACACAAACTCATTTATTTATTTATTTAAGTGAAAAACTAATTCAATTTTGTTAAAAGAAAATCGAAATATCAAAAATTGAAATGAAAAAAACTATTACCAAAATTAAAAAAAAAATTCTAATAATCATAATCAACATAATTCATAAAATTCCAATTTTTTGTCACTTTAAAATATAAAATGCGTAAAAATATTGATATTATAAGCGTAATTTTCAGAAGAATTTTTTTTCCACAGTTTCTAGAAATTAAATTAGATCGAAAATCAGAATCTCGTGTATACTCTAATTCCAATAAATTAAAAACAATGACAAAACCCCACAATCAAAATTTTGGAATCCCATTGAAAAATATAATCTCAAAATCGGAAAATTCGAAATCATAATCGATGAAAACTAAAATTTAATGCGTTCCAATAGAAAAAACCAATCGAAAAACCAGAAAATCAAAATTATCTTAATCCAGTTGAAAAATATAATTGCAAAATCGAAAAATTTCAAATCAAAATCGACGGAAATTGAAATTTCGTTCCAATTTCCACCATAAATGTATATTAAACAATAATTATTTTCTTAAAACTTTTCCTTAGGAGTAGTAATATTGTATAATATATGCAATAGAACCTCGATTAAATAATAAATTCTTCCTATCCCAACTCGGTGGTGATGAGAAATTATTAACTTGATAATTTAATAATATTTCGCTAAATAAATAGAATTTACCAGTGGTGTTCTCAAAGGCGTCGAGGCAAGTTTCTTGGTAAGTGATGGCGCCGCTAAGCCAAGTCTTAACATCATCGACAAGATCATCAACTTTGCTCATATCGAATTCTCCGATCTTCTCAAACGATCTTTCGAGGTCTTCGATGGAGGTGTTAAGCACCTCGCTGCAAACGTCCAGCGCCCCCTTTGTCCGCTCATCGGCCGCAGCGTCTTTGTACAACGTCGAGTTCTTGATGGATTCTTTGATGTTCTTCACCGTGTACTCGAATGCAACCTTGATTAGCTCCTTAGGGTCGGTGGAGTTCGCGCCGGAGAGACTCTCGGTGCACGTTTGCTTGTAGTCCGTTGGAGAGCAGATGGCTTGCACCGCCTTCGTGGTGGCGCTTACGCCGCCGCCGCCGTTGGTCGGCGCGTCGTCGGTTTCGTCGCCGTTTTTCTTGGGGATGCCGACTGCGACGGCGACCACCATCGCTACTAGGAGGATCGAGCATAGCCCGGCGACGGCCATCTTCTTCTTCTTCGAATCGTCCCCCATTATTTATTTATTATTATTTATTTAATTAATGACAGAGCTCGGAGGGGTTGGGCTGTAGATTATTGGGACACTCCCCTTGAACTCTGGGATGAGGGAATTGGGAGGATGAAGATATGCATATATATTGTTCGGAGATGACAACGTTTGTGAAACAAATTTTAGTTTTAGTTTCTGAGGTGGTGGTTTATTTTATTTCTATTTTTAATTAATTAGAGAGAAAAATGGAAAGGATGCTAGAAATTGTAGGGATTAAGAGAGGTGGCCATGCATGCAAAATTGATGGACGTGGTGTTTTTTTTCTTTTCTTTTTTTTAATTTATTTTTTTGTTGGAAAAAAAAAATATATAGTTTGATCAATATATGATATTGTCTTCAATTTAAATTTACTACCAAAAAATTTGAATATGTTTTTAAAGTATTACTATAAATTTTGATCCTTTTTCTTTTCTTCTTTCTTTGGCATGATACTTTGATGGTTTCTCATATGATCAAATCAAAATAGAGTCCTGGAGAAATATAATATTTGCTCTTGAAGTATAGTTCCATTAGCACTTTACTCCCCTAAAAAATATAATAGCAGTTTACACCCTGAAAACCCGATAAATCATTAATTAGCATATCGAGCACATTAATTTTTTTAGAAGTTATACTACCTTTATATTTTTATTGATGCATTGATGTGAGAGTATGGTAGACATATACCTAATATTTATCGGGTAGCTATTATTGAAATTTGATCGTTAATACTTTATGAATAACTGATTCACATAATTATATATAATGAATTGATTCGTCATAATATGATTATAATATATATTGCTACGTCTAATAATATTAATTCAATTTTGCGGGTTAATTAATAGGATGCAAATTTAGACCGGATGGTCTACTTTAATAGGAAAATCGGATGTCATAGGATGATTAACACGTGGATAGTTTAAATAAACATATAATTAGAATTCTAATAATTTGAAAAGAAAAAAAAAGGAAAAAGAAAATCCCTGCAAAACCATAACCCCAATTATAATCAGCGTGATTTATTAAGAGTTGAGACATGTCAAAAAATTAGTGGAATCCAACTTATATTTAATTACTCAACGGCCCGTTAAGGTAGCGGACTCGGACCTGGTGTCCACAAGGAACCAACACTCGTTTGGAGTTGAAATTCTCACACTGCGGCTGCCAGGATTCGATCCTAGGACCTTACACCAAGTTACCACATCTGGAACCAATTGAGCTACACCCATGCGGGCTTTGTGACGAAATCTTGAGTTGTTGTTGTTGTTGTTGTTTTTTTTTTTTTTTTTTTAAATTTAATTAACAAATTTTAATCACTAAATTCGTAAACAATTAGATGTTTGCTTTAATTAATAGCTTGGGATCGCATTCCGAGTTTCCCGAGTTCACTATTGTTGTTAAGGTACGGAAATCAACCGATAACCAACATACAAATTCGTGTTTTTCGTGGTATTTAGTCGGGATGCAAAATTGAAAATACTATATCGTAATAAATAATAATATTATTCTTCTCCACTCTCTTAAATCTTGCTCCAAAAGGCGAAATCCCTCGCCCCCAGGGCCCCCATCCCTTGGCCCGACAAGGATTGATGGAGGAATGTAAATCATGGTAACTCAACGGCCCGTTAAGGTAGCGGACCCGGATCTGGTGCCCACAAGGAACCAATCTCATTGGAGTTGAAATTCCCACTCTCTTAAATCTTATTTCGAGCGTACATAGTTACAAAAGAAGAAAAAAACACTAAATTACTTGAAAACCATATTTTATCATATTATAAAATATTTTAGTGAGAATAATTAAAATTATAATTACACTAACCAATTAACCTAGAAATAATCGTTGTATCTATAATTATTTGTCTCCATTAGATTATGTCCCTTCATAAACATAATTAGGTCAAATTAAGAGTAAAGCTGTAAATCACAAACATTCTTGAATGGGGAAAAAATGATCAATAATATTTCTCATTAATTTCCCAAAAACCCTCACACTTGTCCGAAATTTGCTGGAAATTAATTAAGTTCATGTTCTAATGAACAAAATTAATTAAACTCCAGAAAAAAAATTAAGAAATCAAGAAAATGAAATGAATTAATTCTTGATGACCATTTCCAAGACAGAATCAAAGGGTATGCCTTTACCCTCAATCCAATGACCACTATCCATATACATCGTCGGAGCAAACTGCGCCGCCTCCGCCATCGTAATATTCTTGATCCCCGGCCATTTCACCCTATTCGTCAAATCCGCGCCCGGCCCCCGGTTGCCAACCTCCGCGTACCAACACGTGTCGAGATGGTCCGCCGTGTTGTCCCACGGCGACCACCCCTCGGGGCTTATGAAACCCTCGATCTCCGACGCCATGAATATCGTCTTCGAGTACTCCTTCCACGGCCGGCCGAGAAAAGACTGGATGCGTTTGTCGTCGACCGGATACTCCGGGGCCGCCACGACTCGGGAGCCGTGGATCACGAACGCTGACGTCTCGTTGCTCAACGTCCGGCCGTTTGCCGTGACGACGCATGCCTGGTTGTCGAGCGGCTTCCGGACGAGGAGCGTGCAGTTCTGTATTAGGGCACGCGCGTTGCCGAAGATGAAGTCGATCGTGCCGCTTATGGTGCAGTCGCGGTAGTACTGGCGGTGGTTGTGCGCGTAGAGCGTGTCTTGGTAGCCGTCGATGTGGCAGTTGTAGAAGATTGCTTTGTCGGCGGAGACGCGCAGCGCCACCGCTTGGTACCCGATAGCACCCGCTGTGTTCTCGAATCCTATGTCCTTGCCGATGAAGTTGTCGCCATCAATTCCTACATAAATCATTTCAAAGTATAATAAGAACTTTCGGAATTCGAAATGAAAAAAAAAAAGTTATTCCAAAATTGAAAATGTTTTGATATCGGAACTACAATCGGAAATTCCGTTCCAATTTAGTTAATATTTCGAAAATTAAAATTACCGACGGTTGCGGTGAAGTACGTTCCCAAACCATCACCACCGTAGCTCTTCTTTCCGGTGATCCGAGTCTTGGTGGGCCCATCTCCGACCAACACGACCGACCACATGCCGCTCGTAATCTCAACATATTCCTCATACACACCTTCCTTAACGTGGATCACGAACGTCTCATTGCTTCTCTCCGGAACTTCTTTCAACGCTTCCGTAACGGTCTTGTACTTGCCCGATCCATCTTTAGCCACCACCACATTCGGTGTATCATATCTTCTATCACTCGCCATTTGGAGGAGCTTACGGTAATAATTACTATCGCCACGTGGCGATAACGGCTTTCGATCCGCCAGCTGGTGCTTGGTGGGGGCCACCGGAGGAGCCAACAAGTTCGGAAGGAATAATCTGTGGATTTGGTTGGCTATTGCGAGGCCGTTGGTTGTGAGCTCGCGCGAGAGCTTCAATAATTGCCTCATTGTTTCCGCATGGTCACCTTTTGTGTCCTCGAAGGAATCGAGGCATGTTTCTTGGTACGTTAGTGCACCGGTTAGCCATGTTTTGATGTCGTCGATGAAGATTGAGAAATCGAAGAAATCGAACGTTTCTGTCCGATGGATCGTTTTTCGGAGATCTTGGATCGAGTCGTCGAGGACTTTCGTGCATGTTTTGTACGCTTGGGACGTTTTGGGGTCGTTCGAGATTTGTTGGAGCGGGCCCGATTGTTGGATGGTGTTGTTGAGATGGCTAATGGCGATTTCGAAAATAGTTTGGATTAGGGTTTGGGGATCGGAGGAGTTCGTTGCGTTCGATAGGGTTTCGGTGCATGTTTGTTGGTAGTACGTGCTTTGGCATAGGTCTTGAATTGCCTTTTGTGATGTGCTTATGTTGTTTGTTTGGTCTTTGGTTGTCTTGGTGTTGGTGTTTCCGGCGAGGATTATGGCGGCAGCCACCGCTCCGGCCACCGCGAGGGTGGCGATGAGGCCGAAGATGGCTACTTTGTTGGCAGCCATGTTATTGTTTTTTTCTTGGACATGCGGAAATTATGGGGACTTTTATAGAAAGAAAAATATATTTGGTGGGTGATTAATTAAATGAAATTATAACAGTTGAAAATGTGAAGCTGAGAATTGATCCTTAATTTTTTAGGGGTTTAAGGTAATTAACTAAAAATAGAAAAAGGAGATGCTTGGCTGAGGTTATTACCTTTTGCCATCTCAAATAGGGTAAATTACAACCACTCCTTGAGGTATGATCAAATTACAAAAAAACTCCCTCTTGTTTGGATAATTACATTCAACCCCTTTAACTATCAATTTTCTTACACCTTCACCTTTATGGTGTCAAATTCCATATAATCATCTAGATTCCGTGAAATGTTCTCTAGTTTGTACTTGTTTCGTGCAAAAATACAGTTTTTAATTGACCACAATCTGACATATACAAGCCAAAAAACATATCTTGTGATCATCTTGCCTCAAAATATGGAGCTCGAATGAGATAAAACGGGTACAAAATTGAGAATATTCCATATAATCTAGAAGATTCCTCTAAATTTGAAACCGCGGGAATGGACATGTAAGAAGATTTATAATTGAGGGGCTAGTTATAATTACTCAAACAAGAGGGGGTTATTCGTAATTTGATCATACCTCAGGGTTAGTTGTAATTTACCCATCTAAAATATTAAAATTGTAACACCAAATCCAAATATGAGCAATATGCAGCATATTTAGGATCAAAATCTTTATGCAAGAATATTATCCCTCTTCCGAAAAAATCACGAATTTTACGCAACCTCGTCGCGCTCACAATAAGATATTAGTTAAGAAAGGGATCAGATTCAATCATATGATTAATCACAATGAATGATTAGAGAGTACTTAAAAATAATTAACAAATACTTACACATGAAGATCTTTTGATTAATAATAACTGCCACTTCTAAAAGTAACTTTTCCTGCAATAATGTAGGAGAAGAATCACATTCCATTTGGCCCCACTTAGACTTTATTCCCGGTTCGTTCCAACTGCGAATATAACTATAAACGATATTCGTCGTCGCCACAAGCAATTACAACAATAATTCAATGTTGCTTAAACAAAGACTTACAAGTCTAAAAAAATATTCAGATTCTTGATTTTGTAAGAAAAGAAAGCGCCACTTGTCGCAAAGCTAGTGGCCACGTTCTTTTATTTTCGTTCCACTTGCAATCGGGCTTTCTATATAAAGGAGTGTTCGCCTTATAGACAAATCCATCAAGAAAACAAAAAACTCTTAGCTTTCTTATACATATATTTATACACACATATATATACATATATAATAGTGAAAATGGCAAGTAAGGAAGATTTAATTAGAATAGGGATAGAAGGGTTTCGATTGGTCGATGAATACATGGAAAAGAAAGGGCGAAGTGCTGCACCGAAAAAGCCTAGTTACGCTACAAAACAAAGGCCGAATTTTCCGAGGGAAAATATTAACAGACAAACTTGCATGTATCAGTATCAGCCTCAGCGGGCCCCACTTCATCAGGTAATTAAACCGGTTTCTTCTAACGAGATTGTCAACAGTTACGAGGCGGTGCAGTTTCGTGATGGAGTTTCGGTTATGGACTACTCTAAGAGGAATATGCTTTATTAGACTATATATACATATATATATATATATGCATGTATGTACATAGATGATGCATAGATGATGAATCTGCCTCGGCCGTAAAAGATGCCCGTACGTGTGTTAATTAGTTACGCTATATATGTATGCTCGTCTTTGTAATCCGAATATTTGGAGTTACGACTTTCGTATGTATCTAGGGTTTTCTTGGTCTGAAGGTGATGAATGTAACACTTTTGATGTATGAATAAATATTACATACATATATATAAGATTATTGATTTCTTTATACTGAATTTAATTTTAGTTCTCTTAACAGTTTTTATAATATTTACAAACAAATAATTAATTAAAAATTAAACTACTGCAAGAATTATTAAGGTACTAACTAATTAATTACAGTGAAACAGTGGATTATATATATAGTATTAAATTCTTCCTACCACACACCATTAGTTAGTTAGTAATGTATTTTATTTATTTATTTGTGCAAGAACAGAACAATGAAAGATAATATAATGATTAATTATAAAGTTAATTAAAGCTATACAGAATTCGCATTAAAAAAAAAAAGTAAATCATATTTATCAAACAAAGTTTCTGTATTTTTTAGATTGCTGCATGTGTATATATGTAACCTAAATTATTTGTTGATATACCACATAACTAAAATTTGCAATTTCCACAAATCCTCCAGAAATAGAAAAATAATTATGCACTTCTTCATTCTATAGTTTTGGCCAATTAAATAAAATAAATAAAGAAATAATAATAATAAATTATGTATATATTAATGGTTTAATTTATTATATCAAAAGAATATATATATAGGACCAGAATCAAACAATTTACAGTAGCTAGTCTTATCTGAAAGTTATATGCCTTTCTGCATGCATGCCCACTTATCCATAACCCAAAAGCAAAATTACACACACACACACACACACAATTTGACTGCTTGCAGGAAAATATTTCATTATGATATGTGGGAATATATAAAAAAACATGATCACTTCTTCTTGTCATTCAATTGTAATAAACTCCGAATCTTCCGATCCGTAGTTGGAAAATCTCGGTTCTTTTCGAACCGATCGAAATGGACATTTTAGAACCAACTGCTAAAAAACATAAAACAGATAGAATAAATTCTGTAGATCATAAATATTCAACATGATCAATACTTACTTTCGGTTCCAACTTAACAAATTCTGCCTAACTGGCAAAAATAATTAAATTTGACTGAATCTTCAAAGTTAAAAATGTAGCTTTTTTTTTGTTTTTTGCCAACTTGCTACCATATATATGTTATTCTTACACAAGTGTACAAGGGGTAAAAAATTAGGATTTAATTTTAGGGTAAATTACAACCAACTCCTGAGGTATGATCAAATAAAAAAAAAGACTCTTATGTTTTGATAATTACATCGACCCTTCAACTATGAATCTTCTTACATCTCCATCCTTATAGTGTCAAATTCAACATGATCATCTACATTCCGTGGAATGTTCTGATCTCTAGTTTGTACTCGTTTTGTGCAAAAATACAGTTTGTGATGCACTACAATCTGATATATACAAGACAAAAAACACATCTTATGATATATCCAGCTTCAAAATGTGGAGCTCGAATGGGATAAAACGGGTCCAAAATTGAGAATAATATTCCATATAATCTAGAAGATTCCACTAAATTTGAAACCGCAAGAGTGGACGTGTAAGAATGTTTATAGTTGAGGGGTGGATGTAATTATCCAAACATGAGGAGCGTTTTCGTAATTTGACCATACTTCAGAGGTGATTGTAATTTACCCTTAATTTTATAATATTATATATGTGCATATTCTTGATTTTCTAGATGATAATTATTATTTTTCCACATAAGTTATACCTTATTAGCATTTACTTTCCAGATTCGAGATTTTGCACATCATATATACATATCCAAGAAACTTTATTTCATATATTCAAATTTCTAGACGAATAAAAGCAAACTTAATTGGGGTTGATTTTTTTTTTTTTTTTAATTTTTTCTAGTACTAGATTATATTGTTGTTGTGTTGGATAATAAAGAATATTTATGTTCTACGTACAAACAATCGAAGCTCGATTAGGGAATCAAAGAATAAAAGGATCAATCATGGGTCAATGGGTCAACCCAGCTTCTACATGTTGTTTATTTGTAATTATGCATGAAATGAATGGTTTAGATTCATCTTCACACAATCAAGGAAGCGATCGAGAGAGATCGAGAGAGAGCAACACTGCATTGTATTGGAGAGAATTATATACTGCACAGAGCCGGCCCTAGGGTTTTCGGGGCCTTAGGCGAGATTAAATATCAAGGCCCCTCCCTATCTTATAAATTTTATGTTGCAATATTATTTTTTATTAAAAAAATGTATCTAGACATATATTAGGCTTTTTTTGTTTAATTTTACCTCTGACTTCCCCTTAGGACCGGCTCTGATATTGCTGCATGCGGATTAGAGATGAGCCCAGCACATGCAGTTACAACTAACTGAGAGGACCAGTTCCTCTTGTGTTGCATTCTGAGCTGAAAAACCGTCTCACGTGCATGACATGTGGAGCTGGAACATATAAAGCCCCACGTTAGACACCTTCTGAGAGGATTAAACGAAAATACAATACGCATACGCGCTAGCATTAAGAATCTAAGATGAAATGAGTGAGATTTTTTTAATTGTTTTGAGAATCTTAGACGGAATGAGTGATCATCAAAGCTTCATAAGATCGTCACTGTATAATCCTTGGATCGAACCACTATATATAATTGTGTTTCTTGGTCTTAGTCGTTTGTTCATTCAATTCCTTGTGTTGTACGTTTTGTGTTCTTATTCAAAATATTTTGAATCATTGATCGATTAATTCACAACAAGGTATATAAGAAGATTACAATTTACAACATCGTTACTAATTAGGATCAAACCTCGAGTAATTCTAACTTTTCACCATCATCGCAATTTACAACATCGTTATAATTTCGATACACCTATATAAGTCCTAAATATTCCGCAATTTTTAATGAACATAACTTAAAAAGATCGTGATCGACTCAAATATTAAATAAAATCCAATTATTTAATTATTTATGGCAACTAAACATGCATCGTCAATTAATGGAATTAATAACCATATGAGCTGTCTCAAACTCCAAAGATTTTTTTATTTTTTTGGGAAAAATTTAGAGATTGCAGAGATTAATAGCCAAGAATTAATTATGATATTTCTAGCTAATAAAGACATGTAAATGTATCTGGTCTGCTTAACAAATAACACCAGATGAATTAAGTATACAACTAAGCAATATATTATCAAAACAATGGGCGGTCAATTAATTAGATTGGAATAAATGAATAAACCTTCCAAATATAGCTACAAATAATCACAATCACCCAAAAAGCTGAAATAAGTGATGGAAAAAAATTATTGAAAGTAAACATCCTTAACTTTTTCATTAATATTCTTATTATTATATTCTATCGAAAAATACAGACATTATATATATATTATTATTCTTCAAATTAAATATCACTGATCACCATTTGATAATTCTTTTTCCAAAGAATATATTTATATTGCCATATATAGATAATGCATGCATTTACAGCTTTTAAGTCTAGATTACGAGTTTGAAACTCTGTGACCGTCTGATAAAATATAGGGTAAATTACGGCTACCTCGAGAGATCAGATTAACGGCGGACCCATGTGTAGTCTTGGGGAGCTCCCGCCCTTGCAAAAAATATTTTTTAGCAATTTTCTGTTAATTTTTTTATTTTATTTTGGTATTTATATATTAATTTATAGACTTTGTGCCCCCAGAATTTAAATTTTGTACATTTTAGCCCATAAAAAAATATTTTTTTCCTTCTCTTAATTAGTTCACATCCATATTTTCACTCCCCGCCAAAAACCCCCTAGGTCCGCCCATGGGTAAGATCAAGTTATGAAAACCCATTCATGTTTAGGTAATTACAATCACACCATCAACTATGAATATTCTTAGTGGAATATTTTTCAATTTGTGCTCGTTTCACACCATTCGAGCTCTACATTTTGTAACAAGATGATCATAAGATATGTCTCTTGCTTTGTAAATATCAGATTGTGGTGCATCATAAATTGTTTTTTTACACAAAACGAGTGCAAACTAGAGAACATTCCACGAAATCTAGAAAATTATATTGGATTAGAAACGATAAGGGTGGAAATGTAACTAGAAAATTCATAGTTAAGGGATTGTAACTACCTAAACATGAGGGTTTTTTCGTAATTTGACCTTACCTTCGACATCGGCCGTAATTTCACCTAAAATATAATGATTTCTATGCATCTTCCAATATTATATGCAGTTAGGTCTACTTTTTATTTATATTTTCTTTATTTTTTTAATAAAAGAATTCCAACTATTGCCTCTTATGGTTATCCAGAGACTACTTGTTCCACCGGCCAATCTTTTTGAGTCCCAATTATTTGGTAAATAAATATCTGTAAAGATCTGATTCTTATTTGGCTTAAACCAAATATTTGGTTATACTCACCTCCTTAACACCATCATTAGTCCAATTCTTGATAATATTATTAATTAACAAGTAATTGGGAATAATAAAAGCATACCTAATAAAAGTAAATTAAAGTTAATTAATTTAAAAACAATTAAATCATTGATCCTTGCCTTAATCCCCACAAAAAGAAAAATTCTCATTTGGAATGAAATAGTACTACTTATATACTTCTACACTAAGAATATGGCAAAATATGAAGCTAAGTAAAAAGTGTGATTATATTCCAAGAACTTTCCCAACACTCTCTATATATATATACATACATACACCCCTTTGGTTATAACACACACACACACACACATTAGACACACTTGCAAATACATAGTTGTGTAATAATTATATATATATTCGACGAAATGGTGAATCAAGAAAACCTTGTTAAGACGGGCAAGGATGTTTTCGGTTTCATCGAGCAATTCTACTACGCGAAAACAAGAAGGGGCGCGGAGCGTCAACCTGCCGAGAGGAGCTTTCCTACTCCAAAGACTATCGACTGCAACCAAGCTGCAAAAAGATACGGCGGGGTGGTAATAATAACCGGTCGAAGAAAAAATTAAATATAACCGACGATCTTGTCTTAATTACTACACATATGCTATATACTTATGTTGTAGCTAATCTATATGTATGTGTGGTTTTACTTTGTAGCTCTATATATGTATGAAACTTATATAATGTAGTGGATATAATAAAACTTTACTTTTAAATTTTGTAATCTTGATCCTTTTTTCGTCCCGTCGGACAACGATCCGAAAATAAAGAACTGGTTTATTTAATTATTATATTCATAATAATCATGTGTTTTCAAGAAAATGGATTTTTTTTTTTTTTGTAATATTATTGTACCATGATGAATGAAAGAGAGAGGTTTTAGGAAAGTGTTGTGGGAAATGTTTGTTCCTCCATGGAAATAGCTACAAAATCAAATTGTTTTTTTATTTAATTTATATTTTATGTGGCAACTAATTAATAACCTAAAAACAGTTAATCAACATTGTCCAATGATATCCAACAACCCTAATTTTGTTCCTTGCTAACAAAGAGCCCAAAAATATCAAAAGATTAATGCAAAGAGAGTGAGAGCTCCTTGCCCTTAAGTTTAAACAAACATTATCAAGGGTTAGGAGCACCAAATAAAATTAAAAAAAAAAAAAACAAAAAAAAAATTATAAAAAAAAAAAATCAAGGATGGCGATCAAAGCCATCTCATTCGCGCTCCTCACTTTCTTTGCCTTTTCGTCTCTCGGTTTTTGCAATGCAGCACCGATCCGTGCACCCGTGACCACTTTTAACGTCATGAGTTACGGTGCAAAACCGGGCAAGCAAGACGAAAGCACCCAGGTTATTAATTGATTTTAAATATGTCACACTCCCATTTAATTTTCTTGATTTTTTTCTTTCTATAAATTCAAATATTTTTTTTATTTTTTTCTTATTTTTTAGGCATTTATGAAGGCATGGGCTGCAGCTTGTAATTTCAATGGAAATGCAAGGCTTTTAATTCCACCTGGAGTTTACAAGCTATCTGAGACAATATTCCAAGGCCCATGCAAAAGCCCAACTCCAATAACTATTTTTCTTCAAGGTACATTACAAGCGGTTTCCGATATCTCCGCTTATCCCGATAAGGGTTGGCTTTCGCTCGATACGATCAACGGTGTTATTCTCACCGGTGGAGGTACCATCGACGGTCAAGGCCAGGCCGTGTGGCCCTACAATGATTGCAAGACCAATCCCGATTGCTTACATTTGCCTGCTGTAAGTACTGTTTACGCGTGTGTAAACGAATCGAGTCGAGCTGAACACAAATAAGTCAAATCGAACTAAATAGCTATTGAGCTCAAATAGCTTAAAATTTTAATTTTATACGTATCTTAACCGAATTTCATTTCTTATGGAATACATATCATCTACTAGTGGTGAAAATCCGAATGGAATTTTTGATTTCTGCCGATTATGATTTGGATATTTCTAAACTTTGGAAAAATATTTGATTTATCATCCCAAATTTCGAAAGTTCCGATTTCACCCAAAAATCCGGTCTGATTCATCCGATTTCACACAAAATATTCAAATTTTCGTTCAATGTTCAACCGGAGTATAAAAAATATAACTGAATAATACATTATACACACGAAAATATAATCGATATTTTTATTTTTTTTTGTTCGTGTGACAGAGTTTATACATAACGAAAACGAGAAACGCGAAAATCAAGTCGATAAATTTCATAAACAGCATGGGATTCCACATGCACATAACTCAGAGCTACCTGATTAGACTGCACAGCCTCACAATCACCGCCGCGGAAAACTCGCCGAACACCGACGGCATGCATATTAGCAAGTCAAACACGGTCAAAGTGTCGAGGACTCACATCCGAACCGGCGACGATTGTGTCTCCATCGGACAAGGTTCCACTAATGTCACCATCAACCAGATTACATGCGGCCCTGGTCATGGTATTAGGTAATCATTTTACTATTATTATTATTATTAATTTTATTTTTCCGGGAGAATAATGGGGCGGAAATCGGACCGATCGGATCTAAATCAACACTTTCGAAAAAAAATCATTTTTTTTCGGAAGTGAAAAATTAATTCTAATTTTGTTTCGAAGAATTCGGGAAAATCAAAAATTGGAATACAAACCATTTTCCAAAATCGGGAATTTTCGGATCGAAAACGGTGGAATTTAAAAAAAAAAAAATCATTTTTTTAGTCATGACCTAAAGTTTAAAAAACATAATAATAAAGAGGATATAATAAGTGTAATTTCGGGAAAAAAGTATTCAGAAAATTTTGAATTATTTTCAAGAATTATTAAAATCAGATCGAAAACCGGAATCTAGAAATCGAGAAAATCAGAAATCGGAATTTTCGGAATTTGGAATGAAAATATTGTTCCAAGATCATAGAATTTCAAATTGGAACGAAAATCGTCGATTATCCTAAATAGTGAAAGTACATTTTCCTCAGTTCAAAATTGTCGATTATCCTAACGACATCTAATGCGTTCTTTTTTTTTTTCTTCTCGTTTTTGGTGGTGAAAAAATAAATTATCTAGCGTTGGAAGTCTCGGAAAGCTACCAAATGAAATGGATGTGTTAGGGCTAATAGTGAAAAACAGCACATTAATTGGAACAACAAATGGGATTAGAATCAAAACATATCCAGCTTCAGGTCCAAGCAGAGCTGCAGGAATGTTGTTTAAGAACATCATCATGCAAAATGTCAAGAACCCGATTATCATCGACCAAAACTACGGCTCCGATTCCACCAAGGTTTTTTTTTTCTTTTTTTTTCAATATTTGAATTCTTTTTCGTAAAAAAAATAAAATTTGAATTAACTAATTTTTATTTTTTGGATTTTAATTTTGGGCGGGCATCAGCCGTCGCTAGTGAAAATAAGCGACGTGATATACGATAATATACGAGGAACGACGATATCGCCGGTGGCGGTGAATATAGTGTGCAGCTCAAAAGTGCCATGCCAAAATGTACACCTTCAGAATATAAATCTGCAGCTAAATGGGAATCAAAAAACTACTTCCACTTGTGCTAATGTCAAATTAGGCTATACTGGTCTTCAATTTCCACCACCTTGTTAATTTTTTAGCTTGTACCTTTTTTTTATGCTTCACCAACTTGTACCTTGTTTTTTTTTTTTTAATTCTCAAAAAAAAAAAATGAATTTGTTTTATTTATTTTGATTATTTGGAAGCTTAGAAAATAGGGAAGAAATTATTAATCAGAGCGTTGTTTTGGCTCAATATATGTCTGAAATTTGAGGATTTTAAATTTTTTATTTATTAGAATGTTGTTTTCTATTTTTTTGGTAGAGTGAAAAAAAAAAGGAAGAATAAATTTAATTTTAAATTGATTATTCAACTCTAAATTTTAATGCATTTTAACGCTCTGGATATATGCATGCAAAATTGCATCATGAATTCAGAGATTCCATTTCGATTTCCACCCCCAATGTAATTTCGGCCGATTTCGAGGCGTTCGGAGAATCGGAATGAATTTTTGCATTCCGATTTCTTTTAACAGAAATAGGAACTCATTTTTTACTTCCGATTTTTTTTTGAAATTTTCTGAAAAAAATTTATTTCCGATCCATTCCGTCCGATTTCCATCCCTAATCTTCATATATTTTGTATTTCTATTTATTTATATTTTATTTTTTAATTTCGTTGTATAAAAATTGGATTCTGCTTGAACGGATTCACTCGATTGAGGGACTGGAAATTGTGATAGGTCAGCCCAGCAAAAAATCCATACGACGTCGTTTTGAAGCGATCAGGCCCACCAAACTAGTTCCACAAATCAGCAAAAAAGCCCAACACTACGCCAATTTTGGACCTATCAGCCCACCAAAAAAAAAACACCATACGACGTCGTTTTGGACACAATCAGCCCCACCAAATCAGATTCGACACGTCAGCCCAGAAAACCAGTGTGGGACCCACACGCCCAACAAACGAACCGGGTCTTTGTCCGGTCTAGATGTTCTATCTAAACTAAATATATCGACACATTAGTCAATTGAAAATTTAGGCTGGTATATGTTTCTCCATTGCATCTGTACTCCATTCTCACACACCACACGTGTGTGTGTGTGTGTGTGTGTGTGTGTGTGTGTAATAAAACTGAAAGAATTTTTATTTTGAAACATTTCTTTTTTGCCTCATTTTCGTGCTTCCTTAAAGCCGGTTTTATTTCCTTTTTCTTTTGTGGGTTCACGTGTGAGTGTGATGCCACGTCATATTATTTAATCCAACTAACCTTTTTCTTTCTTTTTTTTCGCTTCGCTTTTTCAGCCTTGTTTTTTTTTTTTTTGGTTTCTTTCTCAACAGAATTTCGTCATTTCTTTTTCATTAAATAAATAATTCGAAAAAATTGTGAGTTTAAAAATTCAATTCAAAATGTTAATTGTTAATTACTTAAGTGAATAACTCTACTATTTTTTTGCCCATAATAATAATTCGAAGGCAAATTCTTCTTGAACTCTCTTCCAACACAACTTGCAGCAGCAGTACTCAATTGATCAAGAATCCAACGGCTGATATTCACTAATATCAGGTTTCAATCTCCACCGTCGGATCACAAACCTCCAAAAGACTGCAACTTTGTACACTTTTTGTCCTTTTCTGTAGTTGTAACCGCATCACCCTCTATATATCATAAATCAAAACCATACATAATTCATTCCCCCTCTCTCCCTCCTCTCTCTCTCTTTACTTTCTCTCTCTTACACATGCTTACGCATTTCTGTATCTATCTTTTTCTTCAAGAAGAAGCTTAAAGAAAAAAAATGTGTGGAGGTTCAATAATTTCTGATGAGCCCATAATCAAAAGAAGAGGCAAATTAACCACAGAGGAGCTTTGGGCTGAACTTGACACCATTTCTCACTTTTGGGGCTTTGATTTCTCAGACGATGCTGCCAAAAACCAGCCCGAACCCGCTTCTCAAAAGCCCGGCCCGCACAACAAAGGTCAGTTTTACTGTGTATGGAGATTCACTGCATCGTATAATCCATTATATTATGTTATTTATATGCAAACTTAAGGTCCTAACTATGTATACAGAAGAAGGTTACTAGTAAGTAGAGATCTTTCACACACAAAATAAAAAAAAAAATCAATTAAAGATTCAATTTTTATGTCATTTATATGCAAAATTAAGGTCCTAACTATATATATATACAGAACAAGGTTACTAGTAAGGAGAGATCTTTCACACACACACACACACACACACACACACAAAAAAAATATCAATTAAAGATTCAATTTTATGTTATTTATATGCAAAATTAAGGTCCTAAATATATACAGAAGAAGGTTACTAGTAAGTAGAGATCTTTCACACAAAAAAATTAAAAAAATCAATTAAAGATTTAATTTTTATGTTATTTATATGCAAAATTAAGGTCCTAACTATCTATTCAGAACAAGGTGATTAGTAAGTATAGATCTTTTACACACACAAAAAATTAAAAAAAAAATTAAAAGATTCAATTAAAGATTCAATTTTTATAATTAAATATAGTGAGTAAAAGCAAACATAATCAAAAAGAAAAGGACTTGATGGAAAATGTAGGAAATAAAGAAAAGGAAGAGAAGGGCAAAGAAAGGGGTAGAAAGAGTACATACAGAGGCATAAGGCAAAGGCCATGGGGAAAATGGGCTGCAGAAATTCGTGACCCGAAAAAGGGCGTTCGAGTCTGGCTTGGAACTTTCAATTCGGCTGAGCAAGCCGCTAGAGCCTACGATGAAGCCGCCAAGCGGATCCGCGGGGACAAGGCCAAGCTCAACTTTCCGGCCATTCATCAGCCGCCAACACCACCACAACAGCCGCCTCCGAAGAAGATTCGTGTTGTCCCCGAGCCGCAATCTAAGCCGAGCCAAGTGGTAATGGATTGCGAGCGCCAAGGAGCCGAGCCGTGTTACTTGAAAGGATGTGAGCCGATCAAGGATGAGCTGTCGAGCTGGGAAAGTTTGTTAGGGTTTGAGCTGGCTGCTGAGCCAAGCCAAGTGATAATGGAGCCGATCAAGGATGAGTTATCGAGCTGGGAGAGTTTCTTAGGGTTGGAACCGGCTGTTGAGCCGAGCCCTTTTGGGGTATTGGATGAGACACTGGACTCTGTTGATCTCTGGATGATGGATGAATTTGCTGCAGCTCAGCAGAATAATCTATTTTTCTGAATAAATATTATACATATATGAGCGTGTATGAATATATATACACATATATGTCTGTAATTTTTGTGGTGTTGAAGGTTTGGACTTTAGTTATTGTATGCAATTTGGTTGTATGTTGTATCATGTATGTAACTTATTTAATGTTGTTAGCTTATTATGTTTACTTTTGGTGGTTTTCTTACATGGGATATTTTGGTGACTGCATTCTTGATAAATGCAATGTCGAGTTCCAACTTCCAATGTACTTACTATAATTTACTAAATTTAATTTTATATGTACATATAAAAATTTAGTTACATGCATTCATTGTAGGACAAGAGTTATTATAATAAAATTGATGTACCATTGCCATTAAGTCAGGCTCCAATTATTCACGATGACCACATATTTAGATTAACTAATTACCAACTAGCAAATACTAATAAATTGCAAAAGAAAAACAGGCAATTCTAAATAAATAAAAAACATTTATTGGAGTCTCATTTTTTTTTTAATTATTGATAATCCAATTGACAGAAACAAAATTGCAACAGAAGGTTTATAAAATCAAACACTAATACAAAGAGAAGAAATTTATGTGAGTTAAGAAAGTAACATACAACAGAATGCAAAGAATCAGAATCGAGATCCCCATTTTCGCAAACTCTGTAAAAAGATTCGAATATACTTCCCACTTTTAAATTTCATTGGTCACATCTATACTGCCGAATCTCGGTTCGAATATGTTCCAGAACAGTACAAAGGTAATAAAATCTAATCAATCTTCACAAAAGACTGCTATCGAAATTTCTCAATAATTCTCCGAATTCCAACTTTTAAAAACAGTTGCAAAACTAAACAATCAAGAGAAACAGATGGCACAGGAAAATAATCAAACTAAGGAAGTTTCGATAAAGCACCAACATTTATTATCAACAACAATCAAGCTTAGCAACAGGCATATTGCAAATACTACAGTAATACCAGCATTAGAACAACTAGACCAGTGACCGTATACCACCTCAAATAACATATGAGAAGAAGCAAATCGAGCATAAGTTTAAAGCATAAAAAGCCACCTGTCGAATAATCATTAGTAGATTAACTCTTTAAGTATTGCTAATGATGTATGTGCAGGAAGGGAATTAAGAAAATATTGATTAAAAATCCCTAGTTGGGGCTAATAGTACAACATGGGCTAAAATTCAAATTAAATAACATGACAAGTTAAGGGAAGATACACGAACCTAAATCTAAGTGGGGCCTAATGCAGGAATCAACCTTATGCTCACAACTTTATAACTTCACGATTTAGTCGGTAATCAATCGATAATTATTCTCCTAGTGCTCGAGAAAATCTTATGAAAATTTGCTACGTCATTCATATTCCTATTCCGATACCGATATATAAACTAATATAATCGAAACATGTTAGCAAACACAGACAAAGGTTAAGGTAAGGCGGTTTAAATATCAATTGAATGACTGTCGTTACATTAAATAAGTGATACACGCAACGGATAGATACATCAATACCATTCTATTATACGTATCGTAATAGAAAAAAAAATGGACTGTCTTTAGCGCGAAAAGTTGAACAAATCAACCAATTTTGTTCGATATGCAAATTGGACAATCAAGAACACTGTTTTAATTAAAACCCATCGAGTTGCATTGGTAAATGAATTCAATATATACAAGAATTTAATTTCATTATTCATACAAGCATCAAGTTATATACAGATATTATTTACATAAGTTACAAAGCTAAAAACAACCGAAAAGCACTAGCTTTAATTAAATATTATTTAGGAAAGATCGATTTTTTACCGAATATCGATTACGATTCAGCAGACTGTAGTCAATTGCATTGGGACCTTTCCCCGATCACCGAATCCATCTTCGACAAACCTCACCACTTTCTTGTAAGCAAAATGCAAGCAGTTCGACATGGCGATCCAGCAAAGAATCTCGTAAACAAAATCGAAGGCTGGATCGGATATCGAATTATCGGAAAATTCTTCCCAATTTGACCCTCCATACCCGCCGAAGTTCCACCCCTTACCGCCACCCCCACCGCCGCTCCCGAAGTATCCATCGCCGCCGCTGAAATTGCCTCCGTCGGTGAAAGCAAAGGATCCATTCCCTTCGCCGCCGGCGCCGGCGTCATCAGCTAGGATCTTCCGCTTGACGCGGCGGGTTTTTCGGATTCGTGGTTTCGTTAGGGTTCTGGTGGACGGCGGAGATGCGGCGAAGACGTTGAAAGGAGGCGGCGATTGTGGTGGCTGATCGGATGACGTGTCGGCGACGGAAAGCACGCTGTGGGGACGATTGAGGAGGAAATTCGAGAAGCCTAACGACTGTGTCGAGTACGCGATCGACGAAATTGCGTCGGAAATTACAGCGATCTCCATTGAATACTGCCGAATTCGAGATTCAGAATTAGGGATCGGAGAACGTGTTGGGGAACTGGGGGAAGATTTTTTCCTGGGAAAATGGACGAAAATGAAAAAGGAATTTCTTTTTTGGTCCTTATTTGCAATTTCCGCGGTAAAATGGGCTGAACATTTGGGCCTTCCTTTTGGGCTTCAAAGTAAATAAATTTATATTTCTAAATTATGAAATAAGATAAAACCAGTACGAATAACAAACCCTAGTGTAGCAATCGGGGTTCCTCCACCATTTCATTTTCAGCGGCGGAGCGATGGTGTCGTTGAAGTTGCAGAAGCGGCTCGCCGCCAGCGTTCTCGGCTGCGGAAAAGGCAAAGTATGGCTCGACCCCAACGAAGGCGGCGAGATCTCCATGGCCAACTCCCGTAAGCCAACTTTTTTCACACAACACTCAATTTTGTGTCAATTGACACGATTTTGTTTCTCTCTCTAGAAATGAATCACTGTTTGTCTTCAATAGCTCGATAACAAGCTGCCTACAGCCATCTCTGATTTTGTTGTTTTAAATCATGCTCCTTAATAATTCTAAGTATGAATTTCCTGCGTTTTGTATTTGAATATGTTTGTTTTTATCTGCTTCATTGATGGAAATTCTTTTCTGTATTTCCTTTGTTTAAGCAATCAAATTACCGAATTCATCGATTGCGATTGTGATTGTGATTTAATCATATGAAATGAGATGCAATAATTTTAGGTTTGGAATACTGTAGGAAGATATTTTAGTGATATAAATCTCGATGAATTTTGTCGATGCAGGTCAAAATATAAGGAAGCTGGTGAAAGATGGTTTCATCATCAGAAAACCAACCAAAATTCACTCTAGATCTCGGGCTCGAAGGATGAAGGAAGCCAAACGAAAGGGTCGTCACTCTGGATACGGTATATATAGCTCATCAACAATTCTTTCCAATCGTTATCGATCGTCTTTTTTTTTTTTTCAATAAATAAGTTATCAACCGTCTTGATTGAAAATTGAATTAAGTTTCTTCGTGATAACAAATTGATAACGAATATTTGAAGGTAAGAGGAAGGGTACGAGGGAGGCGAGACTTCCCACAAAAGTTCTGTGGATGAGGAGAATGCGTGTCTTGAGGCGTTTGCTACGCAAATACCGAGAGTCAAAGAAAATAGACAAGCATATGTACCATGATATGTACATGAAGGTGAAAGGTAACGTGTTCAAGAACAAGAGAGTGCTTATGGAGAGTATTCACAAGTCCAAGGCCGAAAAGGCGAGAGAGAAGACACTCTCCGATCAGTTTGAAGCCAAACGTGCTAAGAACAAGGCTAGCAGAGAACGAAAGTTTGCCAGAAGGGAGGAACGATTAGCTCAGGTTATAATCATTAAAAACTAAATAAAATATTCCGTTTCAACATTTTTGTTTAGGGATTTACGTATGCTGGTTTGAAGTTTGATTAGTTGTTGATGATGGTAGTAATTAATACGATGTTAATCGTTTATGTAGGGACCTGGAGAGAAAGCACCGCCAGCTGCAGCTGCTGTTCCGACGCCCCAGTCTGCAGGGTAAATAGTCTTCAATGTAACATAGGAAGTAGAAGTCTTGTTGATTTGGTTATTCGTTTATTTATGTATTTATTTTGGATTTTCCAGGGGAGCCAAGAAAGCAAAGAAGTGAGAGAGATGATGAAGGGAATGAGATTCGATCAAACGATTATTTTTTGATGTATTAGTTTTTGGGTTCGATAGACTTTGTGCTGCGAATTTTTTTACGAAATTTTAGTAGTTATCGATGACTAATGAAGTGCTTGATTGATTTTTTTTGCAATAACGTTGAGAAATTGGTTAATTAGTTATTCTGCTATTAAAAGGTTGTTTATGTGCTTAATTTACACTTTATAAGTCTTTGATATTTGGTTAATATTTTGTCATGTATTACTAAAAAGCATCTACTATTGTCATTCAAATACAAATAACACTATATTATTTTTCATTTGCAAAATCTTTTTTTTAATGGCATCTTGATGTAAGGTTAAATTATGACAAATACTCTCTTGTTTAGATAATTACAATTACACCTTTGACAATGAATCTTCTTACATGTCTAACTTTTCGTTGTCAAATTTAATAGAATTTCGTATATTATGTGGAATATTTTCTAGTGTGTATACATTTTATTCCATTCGTGCTCCACATTTCGAAACTAGACATAAGATGTATCTCTTGACTTGTAAATATCAGATTGTCATGCATTGCATTTTGCACAAAGCGAGTATAAATTAGAGAACATTTCACAAATAGATGGATGTGTAATAAGTTTCATAGTTGAGGGTGGTTGTAATTATCCAAATATGAAGGGGTTTTCGTAATTTGACATTACCTGAGGGGTTAGACCGTAATTTACCATGCTTTATATATTCAATTAGGTCACTAATTGGAGTGGGATTTTTGAAAAGGTTATAATTATATTTCCTGATTTCGTCTCCGATTCATTTGACAAACCTCAGTGCAGCAAAAGAGCGATTCTCTCTTCTCTCCGAAATCCCAACTTCTGAATTGCTTTTCATTTTTTAATTCTCGAGAAGAGATTTCTCTACATTTTTTCTGATCATTTGAGGGAATTTTCTGCGTTTTAATTATAGCAAATAAAAGTGTTAGTGAAATGGCTGCTTCTTCAATAAGTTCCGGTGCATTAGTTACTCTGCAAGAACTGAATCCGTCTTCCCCAATCTTCAAGCAAGGAGCTTCTTTTAGGGTTACCGGAAAGTGAGTCTTCTACCAATTTTTTTTTTAATTTCTCCTTCATCTTTTTGGTGTTTTTTGAATTTTTAGTTTTATTTGCTAATCTTTTTTCATTTTTGTTTGATTGAGCATGTACTCTCTCTGTAAGTACTTCATGAATGGGATTTGGAATTCGGATTTAATTTCTTAAAATAATTATTAAAAATTGAATTTTGTGGCCGTCAGAAAGCATGCATGTTAACTGTTTGATAATATGCCGCTTAAGTAAAGTATTTGCTATTCGAATTTAAAAACTAAGAATGGGATTTTTTTTATGGGTGAAGATTAGATCATTTAATTTGGAACTGCCCAATTATGCATCATGCTTTGTTGTAGCCATACTTGAATTGGAAATCTTCAATAAGTGTAGCTCGTTTTTCGTCTTTGTATAAGTTAGAAAAGCTCGTTTTTCTGATTTTCTGGATTCCATTTTTTTCCATTTACGTAAGCGTTTATCAAGAATATTCAAATCGTTATCATAGCCTACATTCCACAAGCATGTTATGAAGTTACGTAAGTTTTTCATTTTTCATTTTTTCGTCTCGTTTTTAGGCTGCAAGAGTACAATTTAGAGGCAGCGATAGCGGTAATTGTTGATGGAAATGTTAGCTTAAAGATTGATACACAGCACTTAAACATCAATCTTCGCTCGGGTTCTATCTATCAGTTTATCGGGGAACTGCATATTGAGCCTAATAACGAGGTATATTGCATTATTTCCGATATATTGATTGTTGCATTATTTCCGAGATACCGATTTTTGCATGATTTCTGAGATATTGATTTTGCATGATTTCCGGTTATAATTTTCAGGCAATTATAAAGGCTCGAGTGGGTAGAAATGTGGATGGATTAGACATTAATCTCTACCATCAGTCACTGCAGCTCTTGAGGAAATTTGAAGCTGAACAAATCAATAGTCGAACGTCTTAATAACTCACCCCTGCCTAATTAGACTTTGTTTATTTCTCGGGTTGGAACAAGTTACTACGATGCCCCCCACCTATTATATTAGTCGACATTTTTTCACGAATCAAAGCTCTTATTTTCATGTTTGTCACAATCACTCAAACAACTCTATTCCAATGCAAACTCTTAGTCGCTTTTAAGCGAAGAGACGCGGTAATTGCTTGCACCCCTCATATTTGTTTTTTCCTTTGTTTTTTTCTCTTTGAATTTTTTTTTTTTTGAACTATTGTTTAATTGATGGGTAAATTATGGTCAACTCTTTAGGTGATGTCAAATTACGGAAAAAAAATCATGTTTGCGCAATTACAATCAGTGCCCTCAATTATGATACTTCTTATACGTCCACCATCAGTGTCGAATTTAGTGGAATTTTCTTAGACTGTGGTGCATCAGAAACTGTCTTTTTGCACAAAACGAGTACAAACTATAGAACATTCTACGGAATCTAAAAAACTTCATTGAATTTGATACCATAAGAGTAGACGTGAAGAAGATTCATAGGTGATGGTGGTTGTAATTACCCAAACATAAAAGGGTATTTTCGTAATTTAACCTTCCATTAAGGTCGACCGTAATTTATACTTAATTAGTTCATGATAAGATTAAGAATTGGAAAAATCCAACTGCTCAACTTATGACCGACATGAGTTTACTTTAATTGTGATCCACCAAAATAGTTTAGTTAATTTCAACCCTAAAATATAATCATATGCATATTATTATATAATAATGTTAAAATATCATGTGCTTGTACAAATGCATGGTCATTATTAAGCCGTAATTCAATAATACTCTTTTGTCATATTTGCCCTTTTGTCACTCATCATCAAATCCAACAATATAACTATTGTATTTTACAATGATTATATATATCCAGCCTCCTATAATTGAATTTAATCACTCAATAATTCCAAAACTAGAGAGAGAAAGAGCTAGAGAGAGAAAGAACATTTATTTATTTATTTATTTATTTATTTATAAAAAATGCCGCCAAACGTACGCATGCATATACGTAGGCCCCTACACTACATATGATTAAAGAGAAACTAAAATGGAGTGTAAGTTATCTCAGTATTCATCTCCACTTTTGTTTCTCAGTTTTTAATTCGCCGGAATTTGGCCGGAAAGTTGACTTTTCTCCGACTAATATCCAGCAAAGTAAAGGTATATTCCAAATGTTTCATTTTCATTTAATTTATGAATCTCTAATTTCTGATTATATTATCAGCTTTATATATGAATTTCAAGAATTTAACCTAATTATTGATCATATATTGTGAAATTATTAAATTGCAGATCTAATTGAGCTAATTAATTAAGAAGATGGTGCAGTACTTATCTAGTTTATTCAACACCTTGTCAAAGAAGAATAGAATTTTGGCAAAAGAATCTAAGAGGAATAATCAACTTATGCTGACATCATCATCCGACGCAGTTATTATGATAAATCCCGATAACCGTAAAAATTACGCTGCTGGTTATTCGAAACGAGGCAAGAAAGGGATCAATAATCAAGATTGTTTCATTATATCGGAGGTAAAAAAAAAAAAAAAACAATTTGTGTGTACATAAGAGCTTTGCATAATTGATTATCTTTTTTTTAACAAAAACAAAAAAAACATTTTGTTTTGGTCTTAGGAATTCGGGTGCCGAGATCAAGACACGGTTTTTTGTGGTGTTTTCGACGGGCATGGTCAGTGGGGCCACCTTGTGTCGAAAACAGTTAGAAAATCGATGCCGTCTACGTTGCTTTGCAATTGGCAAGAAAATGTTGCACTAAATGCACATGATCTTGATTATGGATTAGGGCAAGAAAACAGAGGGAATATCCAATTTGATATGTGGAAGCAATCTCATTACAAGACTTGTGCTGACGTGGATCAAGAATTGAAACAAAACCCTCGTATCGACTCTTTCTACAGCGGTTGCACCGGTTTGACACTTATCCGACAGGTAAATAAATTGCAATAAATCTTGATCAAAATTCGGTTATCATAGTAATTATTATTATTTCATCTGAATCTTCGTTTTTTAAGGGTGATCTTATGATAATTGCGAATGTTGGAGATTCTCGAGCGGTGCTAGCGACTACTTCGGACAATGGAAATTTGGTTGCAATTCAGCTTTCGACAGACTTCAAACCGAATTTACCTCGTTAGCTCTCTTTTTTGTCTAGTTTTTTTTTTTCCTTTACGAAATAATTACGGAGTTTTTTTTCTTAATGTACGTATTGTTTTGGTTGCAGATGAGAGTAAACGGATAGCAGAATCGAGAGGGAGGGTATATTCTTGTCCAGATGAAGTAGGAGTGCATAGACTATGGATGCCGAGGGGCGATACGGTAAAAGGTCCCGGTCTAGCTTTATCGAGGGCGTTTGGTGATTACTATATAAAAGACTTTGGTCTTATTTCCGAGCCAGAAATCACACAAAGAAACATAACTAGTACAGACCAGTTCGCTATTTTAGCTACTGATGGGGTATGTTTCGTATTTCGATATTTCAAGAATTGTTTTTTTTTTTTTTTTTTTTTCCTTTTTTGCTGGAAAAAATGAAAATTGGGATTGAATTTTTTTTTTTTTTAAGGTGTGGGATGTTGTTACTAATCAAGAAGCGGTGGAAATTGTCGGATCGACGAGGGGAAGGGCAGAATCGGCAAAGAGATTGGTCGAATTTGCAGTTTGTGCTTGGAAAAGAAAAGGAAGAAGTGCTGTAATGGATGATATTTCAGCTGTTTGTCTCTTCTTTCATTGTTCATGAGACTAAACAAAAAATGCTCTGTAAAAAAGATGTTTCATATATATATATATATATATATAGTTCCTTATAGTTTTGGATTGTTCATTTGCATTTGTTGTTAGTTCTTGAATGAATTCACCATAATGAACAAAAGCAGTGACAGAGGCCAAATTCGAGGCGCAATCAATATATTATTATTACTCGTTTTTTTCGACATTGTTAACTACAATCTAACTCATCTTCAAGCTGTTTAATCAAAAGTTCCATCATTTTCTTGTACATTGGCATATAATGGTCATTTATCATAGTCCTAGACAATCGAAGCTTACTGTACAACTCTCTTGGCGTCTCGTAAATCCCGACTTTCTCTTCAGCCGGTGGTGCCACGTCATCACCCGACTCTAACAAAGAAGGAACAGAAACAATATGCATTATCCTGCCGGGTGGATAGAATTTATAACTATCACAAGCATCGAACGAGGAAATAGGCGTATAGCTTTCGACTCCATCAGCAAACACTTTCTCCTCTTCGGTTATCTCCTTCGCCACAGCTTCTTCTTCTTCCTGGATTTCTGCGTGGACCCCACTCAGCTCTTTTTCCAGTTCGTACCATAATTGCCCTTCTGTAATCTCGCCATTGGTCGATGAAGGAACTGCTTTATCCACCACCTTAACCATATCTTCATCTTCATCGGTTTCTTCATGTTCAGTCTCACTGCAACTTGATGAACAGTATTCGTTCTTGTTTGAATCGGAATTGTTGGTTATTACATCACTTGTAAGAGATTCTTCGGTAATAAGAGAAACCTCGTCGGGCGAATTTTCTGTTATAGGGTTTGATGGAGGGGAGAAAGCACGTTTTCTGGGGCCCACACATGACCAAGATGATATAACAACTGCCTGTGCTACATCTTGTGCACGTTTCATCACAACCTATTAAAATATTTCACGATGTGAGAAAAAGACGAGCAGAAAAAAATCCTAGAACAGACGCTTTTCATGACTAATTGTAAATATCGGTTACACGATAATATCATATTGAAGAAGAAAAAGGGATCAAGATTTTGTGGGAATCTTTCTTACTACCTGAGTGCTGCTCGAGACTGGTCGTAAAAGTGCACCTGCACCAACTACCTTTGCTTTTGCGTTCGATATTGAGGGTAGGCGGGACCCGAGAGCAGTGGCGGAACGGTAAATAGCATTCAAGACTCGGTTTCGTTCGACTTGATCACGGAGATCGTTTAACCAAGATGATGCTGTTACCTGATAAAGAATTGAGATTAGCATTTGCCAAGTTTTAAAGACTAAATAGCTCGTTTAATAAAATATGATGTTACGAAAGACGTTACATAAGTTTAATCTGCATACCTCTGAGCGAAGATCGTCTATGGAAGCAGTTGAAAACGTGGGCACCAGATCTGAGCCGTTGATTATTGTGGTGATGAAGTATTTCCCTGATTCAGCCAGCTCCCATGTCATGCAGGCAGCTGAAATAGAGGCAATTTACACATAAGAAATTCAACAACACCTTACATCAATTTTGGGGGGAAAAAATGGATTTTCTTGGAAGAATCAATACACAAATCGTAACATGCCTGGTGCAAAAGTAACGCAAGTTGCTGTAAATTCTTTTTGTTCTCTAAGGATGTATGTAAGCAATGCAGCTGTACCACCACCAAGTGAATGGCCAACAATCTGAAATCAAATGAAGAATTTGTAAAAAATACCAACAAGACTATTGAATCAATTTTCTTTATATCTTTGGAAGCAGGACCAGATTCAATAGTCTAATAAAATCATCTTTTTTTCCCTTTTTTATTATGTATGTGTACGTAATAACAAAGGAACACTTCATACCTTCACCTCATAGTCGGGGTTTTGTTCAAGAGCCTTGAGCAAAGACGGGGTACTTAGCTTCGCTATCCATCGAGCTGCAGCAACCATCCCACAATGTGCGTACCCTAAAACCAGATTGCTTATCCCACCATCATGCAAAACCGAATGGTGAAAAGGGACTACCGCCCCAGTGGCTGCAGTCAACGTATCTTTAATGCTGTGAGTGCCACGAATCAAGAGAAGGAAGCACTTTGAGCTTTCATCACGTATAATTGTGAACGCAGGCTTCAGAATCTTGAAAAAACAAACTTAGGTATAAAAAAAGCAGTCACCATATAGAAAGGACAGAAAATCTGTACGGTAGCAAATGACATGACATACCCCTGCTTTCGGCTTCTGAAGAAGAACATCTGCTTCGGTAAATCCAGCAGTACTCAAAAATACCGGAAAGGGTTTTTTGGAGAAAAGCATGCAGAGGGTAAGTAATCTTAAATAGTAATATAATTTATGTACAATTTCAGGAGCCTTCAACTGCACAGAATTTTCGCCGGCGTATACACTTGCAACTTGTAAATCGCCCTGCAATCACACACATCGTATTCAAAACTATGATAAAATTGATCGTAACACACATTGAATCACTATCAAATGTCTCAGTCACATCCTTGTAAGTCAATTCCTCCAAAAGAGAATGCATTAGGAAGCACCGAAAAACGAAAACTTAACATAACTGCATAAAATCTCTTGTAAGTTGTAACTACGAATCCAATTTCTCGAGAAGAAACAACATAAATATTATATGTAACTGCATTTTACAGTCTCTTAAGGCCTCGTTTGGTTGCCAAGATAAAATTAAATAATCTAATGAAACCAAATTATATTATTGGACCTTCGGTGATCCAACAAAAACATGCCCAGAAGGTAAGATAACATAATATTTTCGGGTCGACCAAACAAGCAAGTTACTGGGGATACCGAACATCAAACAAAGTCGAATTATTTACTTAATCATGACTAATCTCCCCAATCAAACGAGGCCTAAGAAGATAAATCAACAGTAGACAGAAAATATCCAATCCATATTACTTTAGCATGCCCAAGAATTTACCCAAATCATCTCAATTTACTCTGAACTTCACAAAAGTAAAGCAACTCAAGGAATTTAGTGTTTTTCACATTATTCACAAAAAAAAAAAAACACTTTAATAATCAAGTTTAATGCTAAAAAAAAACACCGTATAACGAACCATATACAACCTAGAGAGAGAGAGAGAGAGAGAGAATCCTAACCTGCCTCCGAATAAGATAATTAATTCCGAAAGCCAAATCACCGATCGGCCACTTTCCCAACGTCTCCGAGTACGTAAACCTCAAAGTTTCCGACAGAGTCGAAATAGTCTCCAGCCAAGTAGCCGGCGCCTGAGCTGGCCTCCGTGACAACCGTTTCTTCGCCGATCTACTCATCGATTTCGAGTAATCGCCGCCGGAGGAATCTTCTCCATCCGCCGCCGATGAAATCCTCCGGCTAACTACGTAGTACAGCAGCACCACAGCCCCCGCCGCCGTCGCCGCCATTGTCGTAGCTGCCATCGGATTGTAAACTCTCACGAAACCGAAAAAAATCAGAAGAATCAGTGATCACTGTATATACTTACATACATATATATACATATAATCTTCGAAACGTATAATTGCGAATACAGAATTATTGTAATATAATTTGTATAATCTGTTTGATTGATTTATGTATACAATTTGTAATTTTTGTCTGTGCGTAGAGAAGAGGTTGAAAAGGGGGGGTTAAACCAGAAACAGAGAGTAAAGCTTTAACGCAAATAGTAAATTACTAATCTACCCTTCTCCATGTTTTTTTTTTCACTTCGATTTTTGAATTCCGATTCCGATTTATAAATTTCTATTCTAAAAACATATCTTTCCTTCTTAATTTCAAAAGTTTCGATTTCGATTTTTTGGATCGAAATGGGAATATATAGGATAATCCCAAATTATTTTCCGAAAACAATTCGAATATTTTCGATTTGGAACAAAAAAAAATCATTTCGATTTCCGATTTTTCACAATTTACTTTTCACTTTATTTTCAGAAAAATAATATTTTTTTGAGAGTGTTGAATCCAATTCGATCAGTCTGATTTTGACATTTAATAACAACTATCTCTAATAATTTCTATTTACTACCACTTGAAATAATTTAATCAAAACTTTGAATTCCACTAGATTTTATCTCAAGTTGGACTAATATGATAATATTAATATTTCCTTCCCATTTGATTGATTAATCAATGTTATGTTTTATCAAATATAATAGGATATACTAATAATCTTGATGCGGGGGCAGAACGGTCATTTCAAGGTGAGAATGCAATTTGCGTTGGGTAAAGGGAGGCAAAGTGCGTACGTTAAGTGGTGGTGGAGGAGTTATCTAGTGTGACGGTGTTGCGGTGGGGTCCAGGGGTAGATAGGTTAGCTGTCGTCCGATATGACTTTGTGGGCCCACTATTTTTTTTTTTTAATTTAAATAAGCCCATTATTATTATTAATTTATTGGGCTTTTTTTCTTACATTTTAGCCCATTGAATAATATCAGTATTACCTCAAATCTGAACAGCCCACCACACTTGTTAAACACAAATTTTTTTGCAGTTCCCTTTGCCGCCACCTCCACCACCACCGCGTCCGGCGGCGCTCCACCACTACCCAACCCCTGAATCTTACTGCTTTTGAATTAAACGACGGCGGCGAAGACAAACGAACTTTGTGTTTGATTTCGAAGATTAGGAAAAATGGGGTCGTCAAATATCAGAGACGTTTTAACTTCGTTCAATCCAACTCTGGACTTGTTCGCAATTAGTATTGGGGAAGGCCGAATTAAGGTACGTCCTTTTTTGCTGATTAGGGCTAAAACGAAATTGAAGAAGATAGGCAGGAATTATTACTATTATTACGGTATTGTTTTTCGTAGTGCTGTCATTTTTATTTTGGAATTTTATTGGGGGTGTTTGAGGTGTTCTAATTTAGGTTGATGAAATTGAAATTTCTTTTTATAACATAGTTGAAAGAGTTGAATATTTGTTCGGAAAATGGTTATTACTAGTTCTAGGGTTTGCAGGATGATTTAGTTTAGCAAATTTACAGATATGGGACACAGCGAAAGGTCAGCTCCAGACGGAATTTGCAGATATTTCTTCGACCGAAACGAGTATATTTGCGAAACAGGAAGGAGGGCATCTTTCGATTGATTACACATGTATGAAGTGGCTGTCTCTGGAGAAAAAGGTTTCGACATTTTTTTAATTTTGGCGTATCGTTATTTATCGAACACCGTTGTAGTTTCTGAATGAGGCTCGATGTTTTGCAGAAGAAGAGGAAGCTTGGTGGTTCACTGTTAGTGTTGGGAACTGGCGGCGGTGATGTGGTGGCATTAGATGTATCGGCTGGTCAGTTAAAATGGAGGGCTAATGACTCTCATCCAGGGTTAGTTATGTTTCACATTATACTCTCTTTTTTTTTCGTGTTATTAGCTTTCGCTAATATTTAACTAAAAAAAATTAGTTTTCGTGATGAATATTTGGTTTTGTATGTGCAGAGGTGTTAGTGCTGTTTCATTTCCTGTAAGTGGTTCGCGTATTTACTCGGGTGGTGTGGATGGAATGGTTTGTGAAATTGATTCGATGTCCGGGAATTTATTAAACAAGTTTAGTGCTTCTTCGAGGCCAATTTCTTCTCTAGCTGTTTCCCCAGGTATTTGTCTGAATTAAATGTTTCGATAAAACAACAATAAATCTTTTTATTTTATGAATTTTAGAGTGAGAATTTAATACCTTTTTTTCTTGGTTGAAGTAATGGAAATCGACCTTAGTGTTTGAGGCCTCAGAATCTTTCTTTATCTGTATTATAATACGTGAAGACGTATTAGCACGAATGATTGACATTTTGCTGCATTTTCAGAGCATTTAAATCTCTTACATCCCATTTTCAATAAGATTTTGTAATGTTCGTCTATTAAAGTCATAGTTCTAATTGTCCATTCCTTACTTATCCGTTTCTTGGTTGACCATTGACTCAAATCAGACGGAAAAACGATAGCAACTGCAGCTGGTCAACTGAAGGTTTTCAATTGCGCAAATCGCAAAAAGCTGCAAAAGTTTTCTGGCCATCCCGTGAGATTCTAAAAAGCTTTATTTCTTCAATTTTTTCGCGTTACGAACATTAGTTAAGGATTTTTTCAAACTTCCGTCTTACATTATTTTTTAAAAAAATCTTCTATAGGGGGCTGTGAGATGTATGGTGTTCTCTGAAGATGGTAAATACGTGCTTTCTTCAGCTACAGGCGAAAGATATGTTGCTATATGGAAAATCGATGGCAGCAAAAACAAGTCATCATCCGCATTACTTGCAATGGACCACCCTGCTGTATACTTGGATTGCAGGTGTGTCGATAGTGGAAATGCGGATAATTCTGGTCTATCTGTTCTGGCAATAGCAGAAACGGGTGTTTGTTATTTTTGGCACGGAAAAACTATCGATGAGCTTCGTAATTCAAAACCGACGAAGATTTCTGTACTCTGTGATGAGGGAGTTTTGCAGAAGAACAAAGGGGCGGTTCCTAATGTATTTGCTGCAAAATTGCAGAATGTTTCTGAGCCTGCTTGTGGTCATTTGTTTCTTGCTTATGGTTTGCTTATAAAACCGACGTTTGAGAAAGTTCTGGTACATTCCGGAACAGACATAGATTTGAATGTTTCGCAAGATGGTATTCTTCTTCCTATTGGTCAACCGCACGGGTCTAAGAGAGCGTCTGTTGACCAGAGTCGAGGCAAGTCCCTCTCTCTCTCGTTTTGAACTTAATTCCATTCAAGATTTTATTTTTTTGTTTTGTCCGAAATATGTTTGTGGTAACAACAACATTTTATGATAAATGTACAGTTACTGCTCTGGATCGTGCGAATACAGAGAATGCTCTACTTCCCGTACCTAAGATGTTTGATCTGATCGATGTGAAGAGTGAATTGAAGCCCCTAACAAGCAAAGGTATGCTTAAAAATTCGAGCCTCTTTCCTTGGTTATGATTATTCTATACGGCAAATTAAACTACACCTACCTTCCCTGAAGTTAGGTGTAATTACAGCTATACCCCCTCGGGTTTCATAAATTACACAAACATCCCCTAAAATCTAAGCCGTAGCATTTGGAAAGATTGATTCCATAATATGTTAGTGTTTCCACTTGTTTCTATGGGATAATGCAGATAGAAACGAGTTAGACCCTGTCACTCTTTCCATGGAGGAAAAATTACGATCTTTAGGGATACTTAGTGATAATACACTTAGCTCGAAGAAGGGCAATAAAATGTTGGAGGGCATCAACCTTGACGAAATTACACCGAATAAGAAGGTTTGTGTTTATTACAATAGAGTTCCGGGCTTGTTTTTATTACCTATATATCTATCTTGAAAATAAATGTTTTTCCGTTTCCCCTAAATACATAGATGAAAGCAACTATCTCATCCATGGAACCTAGTGATGCACTCAAACTATTGAAGGGGTTGGTAGATGTTTGGCAATCCAGGTTTGCTCTTCAATAATTTTTTTTTTTTATTATTCATCACATTATTATTATATTTATTTACTTATTTTAAATTTTTCCTTGCAGATCTCAGAGTTGCAAGATTGTTCTTCCGTGGATATGTTGTGTATTGATGTACCACAACGATTACGTTAGATCTCAAGAACCGAAACTTCTGGATAACTTGTACAAGGTAGAATATATGGGGAAACTAACCTTCTATTATATTTTGTTTATTTTCCTTTTCTTTTCATTCTTTTTTTTCTTTTCGGGTGACATTTTTACCCTTTATTACAGGTTGCCAAATCAAAAGTGCCAGCTATGAACTCTCTACTGCAGTTGTCTGGTCGTTTGCAACTCATGTCAGCTCTGGTTAGTTCTCGCAAGAATGTCAACTTAAAAAAAAAAGATCGTTTTTTTTTAATAATGTTAATGGGTTTTGCTTTGTCAACAGATTGACAAGGGTTTAAACAAGAAAGATTATGTCTTGGAGAGCGATGATGGAGAAAATGAAAGTGAAGATGAAGATGTTGATGAAGTTGTTTACGGAGTTGATGATGAAGACTCCGATATGAGCAGTGAGGGTGATGAATGATGTTTTCCAGCTCGGTTTCTTATAGGGGCAGTTTTGTAGTTTTAATGCCGACAGATTCACTCCCGTTTTACATTATTTTTTAGGTTGACAAGAAAGCAAAATATTTGAATGTCATCGTGTATGTGTGTTATGTTGAAGAGACGATTATTTTTTCTTTTGTCGGAAGGTTGTATAATCACGATTTTGTGGAATGGTGGACGAGAAATAGACACTTTTTTTTCCGAGTAAATTCAAGTCCATTATAAGGGGAAGTAGGGGAGGGGCCGGGGGGACTCGAACCCTAGACCTTTACCCTATTGGTAAAGGTTATGTATCAACTCTCTTAACGAGGGTTGGTGAAATAGACACAATTAAATCACCAAATATATAGATAATCAAAAAACTGAATTTCTCTCAACGAGAATTACATTTTTTTTATTTTGCAATTCAAGAAATAGTTTCAAAAATAAAATAATCTAGGAAAAAAATTAAGCATAAATGTGAGGATTCTCCAAGAGATAGGCTTCGACAACTTTGTATATGCCCATAGCACTCTCTTTGCCACCCTTGATTTCTTCCTCGTCGATTTCGTAACTACCGACCGTGTGATATTCGCTCGTCATCTTGCAAATGGAGCCCCTGTTGTCACTCAATTCGAACTTGATCTCGTACTCAATGTACTTAAGTTTGTCACCCAATGCATCGCCCTCGATCATAGTGTATTTGCAGACATAGTTCTCTTTGTCCAACTCGTTTATACGATTCTTCACGTACTTAAAATGGCTAGCTGCACGAACAAAAATAAATAAAAGAAAATCATAGTGTAAAAAGATTTGAACTTTTTGGAGTATTTTTAAGAGTGCTTACATTCGGTGAAGTTGACTTGCTCAATGCTTCCGGAACCTCCGGAACCTTCCAAAGTATCGATACTTTTAATGAATTGAGGTAGGAGTTTTGGTATGAGGTTGCTCGATTCTAAGATTAGCGCTTTAAAGAGACGGCCCGGCGAGACGGGGCTAGTGAATTCTTGATTAATTTTTGTGACTCCCATAATTTCTTGCAAGATTCTTTGATGCTACCTAGGGTTATAGAAATGGTCTAAAAAACTTAATAATGTGTTTGTATATATATAAAAATATACATAAAGCACCTCAGAGTTGAACATTCATTGAGAAAAGACTAAGAATAGTTAAATTAGTCTATGGATTGAATAATATTTGCTTTGATGGCTTAGAATTTTAGGTTGACGGGGTTGCCTCTTTAATTTTCCACATGGGCGGCCTTAATTAGATTATGTTGTAAATTCTCAAATTTGTACTCGATTTACCCGATTAGTGCTCCATATTTTAAAACAAGATGATCATAAAATGTGTCTCTTGGCTTGTCAATATCAGATTATGATGAATTAGAAACTGCATTTTTGCACAAAAAACGAGTGCAAACTAAAGAATATTTCACGAAGTTTAGAAGTTTCTTTTGAAATTTGAAACCATAAGGGTGGACGTGTAAGAAGATTCATAGTTGAGCGGTTGGTTGTAATTACCCAAACATGATAAGGGTTTTTTCGTAATTTGGCCGCAATTTACCCTTTTGATTAATTAAGCATGTTTACCAACTTGTTTCTTCATCATTTTGATTAATTAAGCATGTTTAACAACAAGAACTACTCCTTTATTCTTCATCACTTAAATCCCAACCAGCTAGTCATAATACACTTGGAACAGATAAATTGAAAAAATAGCAAAACATAACTCAATAATAATATTCTCCCAAGATTGACATTCATAACAAGAACACTAGTTATACACATTCTTAACAACATACAAACTCGAATCAAAATATCATTACAACCAGCCAACTTACAACCAAAAAAAAACATAGTTAATCGAAACAAAACGAGCTCCTCCAAAACGATCGAACAAATCGTGAGAAAAATCCCCCCAAAAATATCGAAAAAAAATTTGTTTTCAAACATAGGCATGAGGGTGTGCCAAGAGATAAGCTTCAACAACTTCATACATCCCAATAGCTCTATCTTTACCCTGCTCAATATCTTCCTCCTTAATCTCCACATTCTCTATCGTATAATACTCGCTCGTTATCTTACAAAGGCATCCACCGTATCCGTACGCCTCGAACTTCACTTCGTATACAATATGATCCAGCTTCCCCATCAAAGCATCCCCTTCGATCAAAGTGTACTTGCAGTAGTAATTCTCTTCGTCCACTGCATCGATTCTGTGCTTCACGTAGTTATACGGGCTAGCTGCAAACAAACAAAGATCGCATTTTTATTAGTTCAATCTGCGTGAAAGTTGAGTTCTCGGACATAATCCTTAAAAGGGCTTTTGGTTAAATTGATTTCTGAGCTAGCTGCCCCAAAAAAAAAAGGTCCCATTTTTATTAATTCAATCTTCTGCAAGAAAGTTGAGTTCTTGGACAAAATCCTTAAAAGGGTTTCTGGTAAAATTGATTTCTGAGCTAGCTGCCCAAAAAAAAAAAAAATATCGCATTTTTATTAGTTCAATATTCTGCAATAAAGTTGAGTTCTTGGACAAAATCCTTAAAAGGGCTTTTGGTAAAATTGATTTCTGAGCTAGCTTCCACAAAACCAAAAATAAAAAAAAAAAGATCGCATTTTTATTAATTCATTATCAATAGTATGCAAGAAAGTTGAGTTCTTGGACAAAATCCTTAAAAGGGTCATTTTGGTAGATTTGATTTTATATTTACCTTCTGTGAAGTTCATTTGTTTGATTGTGCCGGGTTCGCCTTCGCCTTGGAGAAAATCGATGCTTTTGATTGATGAGAACAAAAGCTGAGGGGCGAGGTTGTGTGAATCCAAAATTAGGGCTTTGAACATTCGATTTGGGGTTACTTTTGTTCTAAATGATTGAGATACTTTCACAACACCCATTTTTCTTTTCTTTCTTTGACAAATACTTGCAATTGCAGAGAGGGTTTGATTAGAGAGGAAGAAGAAAGACTTTATTGCATGGATTTTTATTTATTTATTATTTTATTTTATATTTTTGTATTCTTTTTGTGTGGGAAGTTTAGGTGAAGGTGAGCTTTCAAATGTGTATAGTTGAAAGAAAAGTTTAAGTCTTCGTTCTTGGATTCTTTGACTCATTCAACACGTGAAGGAAACATCTTCATGTAAGTTGCATGACTTTTGGTATCTATATAATTTGAGGATTTCTTTTGGTCATTAACTTTTTTTTTTCTTTTATGACGACCCTCGAGGTAAGGTTAAATTACGAAAGAACTCCTCGTGTTTGGATAATACAATCACCCCCTAATTATGAACTATTATCTTACACGTTTGTTCTTGTGTTGTCAAATTTAGTAGAACCTTCTAGATTATGTGAAATATTCTTCAGTTTGTACCCAAAAACAATAGCTCAACAGATTGTCTCTTGCCTTGTAAATATCAGATTTGATTGTGGTGCATATAAGAAACTGCATTTTTTAACAAAACGAGTACAAATTATTCACCTGAATCTAGAAGATTTTGTTGAATTTGACATCAGAGGGATGGACATGTGTAAGAAAATTCGTAGTTGAGGGAGCTGGTTGTAATTACCCAAACATAAAAGGTTTTTTTCGTAATTTAACCTTGTCTAAGAGGTGGTCGTAATTTACCATTTTTTTACCTGAAAAGCTAGAACATCAAATGACTTTTATTTTCATTTATTATAACAACAACAACAACAGCAACAACAAATT